GCTGGGATGCTTCCCGATCCCCCAGACCAGAGCAATTGATTGTTTTAAGGGCTTTTGACTTGAAATCTCGTCAATAAGGCGGTGATGTTACGTTCCTACGGGTCTACACGCCACTCGATCCTTTAGGATTCTGGTGTCCATGCACATCATAGGTTTGTGGAGTCAGAGTTTCTCGGTACCCTTAGGTAGACCTACATGTCCACAAGTCTGGTTTTAAGCCTCAGACGTTCACGTTCGCCCTTTGACTTTTGTGAGGAACATCCGGTATCTCTATGTAGCGAAATTATGTACACCTTATCTTCAGTGCACTATTTGCACAGATTTTTAGTGTTGTGCTACTTCTGCCCTTCCTTCATATTGTGTTTCTTTGTGTTCCTTTCACGTCTCCCATGCATCTTCACAATGCTGTATCATTTACTTTCTCTGACATCAAATCTATTTCCCTGCTATTTGATGTCTTTTATGCCGATGAACATCTCTTCATACACTGCTGATAAATCTTATCAGTAGCACACGTCGCGACATGAGGGCATTTGGAGAGGAAGAATGAAGTTTGTCCACCCTCTGCTGTACGAGGTCGTTTATAGATCTTAGGCAGTACACAGCCATAAGCTCACCATGGATCTAACCCCACTGCAATGCTTGAAACTGAACAATAAGCCAAGTATGATTAAAATCAGTAGTCTAAAGATATACGGTTTTAATAAAATTCTTCTGCCTTAGGATTATTATTCTTTCTTTCCGTTCCGAGTGGAACATATGACGTCATTTTCACCTGCCTCCAGGCCTGCTCACAAACCTTCATTTTCCTCTTCACATGATCTCCTTACATTTTGCCATCAGACGCCAAATCCCGTTGCTCCCTATTGGAGCTCCATTCGAGGCTGTCTGAGGTGTGATGTCACTTGAAGGTTTTCTCGTCGACGAATCGGGCGTCCGAGGTTGACATAGAGGAGATCGTCTGAAGAGGAAATGAAAGCTTCTGGCCAGTTGTGAAGCCAGGTGATGTGAAAGTGACGACAAACAATAAAGTACAACGGTGACGTACCGAAACCCCACACTCTAACAACGAACAATAATAATAATAATGTAATCCTTCTGAAATTATTAGTATAATTTATCACAGTTTTCTTCACCTAATAAACACATCTGCATAAGGCTGAGTGAATTGATTTTTTTGTTGAGTGGTGAACTTACAATATATAAGTGATGTGTGTGTTGACCTTAAATCCTTCATTTTCTTAACAGAAGAAGATTCTGAAAAGCTTTGAAAATCATCACTAGTTTTCTTCTTATTCACTTTTATCTCAAAAGATTTCAAAAAAATAAAAATAAATAAGTAGCAGCTTATAGAATTCAAAACATCTTCATCACACTTTATACCTTGATTAATTTATATTTTCATGTTCAGCTCAGCAGGAGGGAGATGGAGAGAGGTATTCTGTGCATGTGTGTTTTTATGCTATCTGACATATGAGTGAGAAACACTTCTGACTATGCTAAGGGTCTCATTCTGTGTGTGTGTGTGTGAGAATGTAATCAGTTTCTAGATGGATTACAGTTTTCTATCAAACAATCTCATAATCTAATATTAATGAAGGTATTCAAGTGTTGGTTTGTAGGGATTTGATTGGTTACAGGATTTCATCATGAGCTGACATCAGTTCGAGAACCATTGGAAAACAAGCTGGGAGTACTGGACAGCTGTTTCGTCCTAGTTTGGGACTCTTCAGCAGTACGCACCCACCGGGATTCGAACCCAGGACCTTCTGGTTGCAAGGCGAGCTCGTATACCATTAAGCCACTGGGACCCGATCCAATGGTCCATGAATTCTAACTTGTGCCAATTCACGACATAGCGCGAACCCTAGCCAATGTCTTCGGCGAGTATTTGTCCTCACGCCCGACCTGCTGCATCCTACTGGTCACGACTTCTCACTAGAATGAAGGTATCTATTTGTACGACATTCTATAGAATAGAAACTATTGTCTTCAAGCGGTTTTATTTGCAATCTACATTCATCTAATTGTAGGTGTTCCCTGAAATGTAACGTGAATTGATACGCAGATGCAACTGTTTCCTAGTTGCTTAGACTAACGGAAACTGGCTGAGCTGAAGTTCTAGTTCAGGCATTTTGTGCTTTCTCTTTAGTCTCCTTTTTCCATTCCTTGAGTTCAAAATGGAACATAAGGCTGCAGTCTGTAGGCCTTGGTGTTTCAGTAGCTCTGGTGTTTTTTTGCGGGAGGCCGGCTTCACGCCCAACCTTTCCTGCGTTTCACCGGCCTACTGTCAGCTAGTAAATTAGGTAAGGTTTAGGAGTGCATCAACGGTCAGTCGGACCCGGACCGCCTGGACGATTGGTGGCGAGCCTTCTACCAATGAATCATTAATGCACTTCACTAGTGTTACTTAATATCTATGTTCAATCTGATGCTCACTAATGGCTGACTACAGTACGAAGTTGCCCGAGTGAAAATTCGTGACCAGTGGGGTCCACCCAATCTGGAGTGAGGAAAAAATACCCACCGTTGATATACTGGCTGGTGAAAATTGCTCTAAAATCATGAATTGGTAGAAGTTAAAATTTCCGGCACATTGGACCGGGTCCCAGTGGCTGAATGGTCTACAAGCTTGCCTTGTAACCGGAATACCATGGGGTTGGAAACCCGGTGGGTTCGTACTGACGATGAGTCCCAGACTCGGGCGAAACAACTGTCCAGTCCTCCTCGGTTTCCAATGGTTCTCCAACTTTCATTAATTCGTGATCAAACATGAAACAAATCAAATTCCTACAAACTAAATCATAAAAATGTTGAATACAGCTCAATGTTTGTGTAGAAAGATGGTGTTAGTTTTCGATATATGAAAATATATATGGAAGCGAGCTATCTTATCGTTCCTTTTTTCATCACAAACAAAGGTCTAGTTATGAGTAATCTAGCTAAGGAAAAAAACTTGATTCAATCTAAACTTAGACTGTCACTTATTATGTAACAATATAAACACAATCTGTGTCTCACCTTGTACTACGCGCACACACACACACACATAGAATGTCACCACTGTGCGTAAGGTCCACTACCTTCTCTGTCATATATTTTATATATCAAGTGTCAGTTTCTTTCTTTCTCTCCCCCTAAATTAATATATATATATATATATATATTGATTTTTTTTGATTATGTAACATTTTGTAATACTGTCACTTTTTTACATTCCATTCCTTTACATTGGATTGAATTAGACAGATTATGAGGGTTAACTTTTTGAGTTTTTATTTTCATTTCAGTCTGTGTTGAAATATATGTATGTACTTGACACTTTAAGTGAATTTCCTTATGATTTCATAAAGAAATTAATATTTATCGACTTGTATGTAATACACAAAAAATAAAAACAGACACCCCGATACATTATCTTCTGACTGTTTAAATGGTCTGTAATAAGTAATTCAGTCAAGAGAGTAGAACTTTTAACTCTTTCGTTGTTTTACTTCAATATTCTCAAGAGTTAATTTGTAGGGATTTGGTTTGTTTCAAGTGTGACCATGGGTTGATATCAGTTAGAGAACCATTGGAAACTAATGAGTAATGGACAGCTGTTTCGTCCGAGTTTGCGACTCATAAGCAATACGAACCCACTGGGTTTCCAACCCCCATAACCTTCCGGTTACAAGGTAAGCTTGTAGACCATTCAGTCACTGTGTGACCCAGTTCAATGGCCCATAAATGTTAACTTCTACCAATTCGTGATTTTATAGCGATTTGCACCAGTCAATGTCAACGGTGGGTATTTGTCCTGACTCCCGATTGGGTGGACCCCGCTGGAAATTCGAGCAACGTTGTCCTGTGGTGAGTCACTAGCGAACATCAGATTAATTTTCAAGAGTTGATTTGTAAGGATTAGATTTGTTCCCAATTAACCTGATGCTTCTTAGTAATTGGCTACATGACAGAGTTGCCTGGAGTTCTGGTGAAAAGTCGTGACCGTTGGGTTGATCAAGTCGGGCATGAGGACAAATACTCGTCGAAGACAATACCTGGTGGTCGCACTAAAACCACTAATTGGTGGAAGTTAGAGTTCATGGACTGGCGGTTGAGTTGGGTCTCAGTGGTGGCTGAATGGTTTATAAGCTTTATTTCAGTAGTTGGAATAAAAGTTTTCTTTTTGAACTATCTTAAAAATGAAAGCAAACAATTAAAGTTTTTATTGAATTTTAGGGGTGTTTTCCTTTTCTTTCCCATATCTGAGTTTGCTGTCGCCAAAATGAACTGGATTATAGGGATCTGATCGATTTCAAGGCTTTTTTTTCTCCCACTCCTTTACACTTCAACCTTTGAGCTTTAAAGTTTCATTAGCGGTGTTGATTTTATTCTTACGAGATGGGATTGCTGGTTCCCCGCCCAGCCTTCCTCTTTTTATAGGCTTACTGTTGGCTAGTGGGCGAGGCGAAGTTTAGAAGTGCGTCAACTTTGAGTTGAACTCAGACCACTTGCATGGCTGCTATCATTCTGTTATTAAACTAACGACGTCTAATTTCAAGGTAGTTGCTCATTATAGTGGACTTCCTGACCTCTGAGACCAAGCATCTCGTGTGTGTGTGTGTGTGGACAGATACTCTCTGGTAATATTAAATAGCCGTCGTGGTATTTTGTAAACTGACATAAGTTAGCATTTACGAGTTATTGGATTTCAACCCGATAGTTGGATGACCAATCGGATCGACTCGTAACCTCTTGGTCTTTGATGGGGTGGGGGAAAGGGTCGTTGATATATGCACTACTGAAGAATCTCAAACTAGGAGGGAACAACTGTCCAGTAATTCTTGGTTTTTCGATGTTTCCCTGAAATCAACCTTAAAACTATTTTCTGATTGCTTTGCACTGAGAAAATGTGTTATGTTTTACCAAATATTTTATTCCGGTCTAAATTTATTTGTTATTTAAATATAATAGAAATGGGAATTTGCTTTCACTTCTTTTTCTTGTTCTTCTTTCAGGCGATGATTATTCGAAAACAACAAGATGACTACATAAAGCAGTTACAAATGTATTATGATAATCTTTTGACAAAACATGCTTTAGCAGAAGTCACTATCGATCAGTTACGTATGGGTATGCGTGTTGGCATCGATGTTGACTCGATAGATGAAACACTTCAGAAAAAAGCAACTAAACCAAGATCACATAGTATGCAGACGTTACATTATCATAATAATAATAGTAGTAATAATAATAATAATCCAAGGCTTATATCAAATGAAGATTGTCTACAATCTCCAAGGAATTGTTACCAAAACAGAAATAATAATTCAAACGACATTACTGTCCATTATTCTTCAACACCATTGTTAGAACAACAAAGGAATAAAATGAGAAGAAATTCATCAGCTCATGATGCAAGAGTTTTATCAACAACTTCTGAAAGTTGGGAAACTGGTTTAGGCAGTGTAAGCAACAATTCTAGTCAATTTGTTCAACGTAATAATGATGATATATCATCCAAGGTGGATTTAATGAAAAATACGGAGAAGTTGACTTCTTATGGACAAGATCAGGCAAAGTGAGTTCATGCATGTAATAGTCATTTAGTTTAAGCTATTCGTTTACTGCGCATTTATTAGTGTACTATTGGATTTTAATGCATTTGTGTAGTTCTGTGATTCATGTCTTAATGGTGTTGAATGGGTTGAAGGCAATCCTCAAGAAGCTACTGTGCAATGGATTCGTCATCTTGGGGGGATCAGTTGTGTAGTCCAATTGTCTCAGTAGTGTGGTGTAACGCTTATGTCTTCAGCACGTAGTGACTGACTGGGGTTTGAATCTTTTGTGGGATGGATGGACAACTTTAGATTCAGTTGTTAGTGGTTGATAGTTGTGTTTAGTTAAGAATTAAAAGAATTATACCTAATTGTTACACATTTTTTAGTCCAACCATGCGTGATGCTATCATTTAGGAGGCTTCTTTTGGACTTTGTAGATGGCTTTGAATGAATTCCCTGTGGATATTGCGTGACCAGTGTTGACCATATGTTCAATTATAGCACTCTTTATTGATGCACTGTTTCCTTTTCGTAGCCAAGCGGGAGAATGTTCTTTGACTCTTTTGAATAAAACACCCACCAAACGACCTTTATATCTCTCTCTCCACATGAACCAGTAAATTTGTAGATGCACATAGAAGTGGTCAATTGTGATAGTTTATCTTTGGAGTTGTTGAAGAACAATGGGCGGCTTAAGAATACCAATCGTAATGTAGCAGCAGAGAATGTTCTTTTCAGGGCATTAGATATTCTTCTCATTAAAATGCTGGCGAGAAGGTCGCCTTTGAACACCACACCTATGTACAGCTTCTTCGGCACATAGATGGGTTGTTTTTTGTTGATTTTTAGCTTTATAGCTTTATCTATAAAGCGTGGTGGATAGCCATTGTCAAGTAGTGTCTTCCTCAAAAGGGTGATCTCCTTTTCTATTGACTGGAGGCTGCATATTCTGAGGATTCTAGTCGCAAGAGATATCATCAGTTTCCACTTGCGATTGTATTCATTGTAAAATTCACTTTTGAAAATCACCTGAGATTTCTTCTTACCTTACTGTATAATATTTCTTTCCTTTCCATACTTTCTTAGACCTGGTGGAAGCGTACAGAAAATACCTACTGAACAGCGAAGCCATCATAGAAAAATCTCTGAACCTTCACCATCACCATCACCTACCACCCACAACTAATCATCGTGGTGGTAATGATCAAATGAAAAATGTTAACAATCACAGGCGAAATACAACCACAGCTTCGTCTTACAATATGCAACAGCATCAAGACAATTCAATACATTCGCCTGATGGTTGTGTACCCGGAGATAGTAAGTTTATCGTATCGTTTGTGTTTATTGCTACTGGTTGTCATGGTTTTTTCACTGTTGAGTGTATCCGTTGCATTAATTACTTTCATGTACTTCATTTACATAATTCATAGTCCGCTGTAAATTTTGTGGTTCAGGCAGTCACCGTTCAACCGCTAAGTTATGATTGTTTCCTCATATTCGTGTGGCTAATCGATTTACACTGTTTACAGTTACATAATAATATGTGTAGTGTACATCTTTTTAAATAGACTAGATTACCGACTTGTTGATTTTGAGAACTCCAGATAGTAACAAGAATTTAGACAATACTGTACTGTTGTGTTCACTGTCCCAATGAGTTGTTGTTTCATTGTTAGTGCGGCGGCTGGGATACTGCCCGGGCGGCCAGACCAAAGCAAGTGGTTGTCGTTTGACTTGAATTCTCATCCACAAGGCAGCGGAGTAGCGTCAGGAACCGCATTCCCATAGTTGCCGGTGGCCAGTGCAGGTTCATACACCATTCGATCCGTTCAGATTCTGGAGCCCATGTATACGATATTAACTGCGCCTAGTCTAACCGCTATCCAGACGACCTTTCTGGCATGGTAGGACCTACAGCAACATAAGTTCCAACAAGCGTGGAAGCCCAGCCATCACGTCAAGATGGCAGTCATCGACCGGGCCATTGGGTTAAGCACTCATCTTCCAGCCAAATTGGTTCAGCGTTTGAATCCCTGACTGATTGACTGAGTTTACACTAAAGTTCTATACTTCAAGTTACCACATTTCATAAAGCAACGAAAACGTATGGCGCGAGGAATGATTACATGAAGAATGATAAGAATTTGATAAATTTTGGAGTTCATAAAGAGTAAATGCATCTGCGCAATTCAGAACGATTTTCAGTTATGTGACTAACAGTCTTCAGCCTTTTATTCTTAACATATCGAAAACCAGAGCCAGACAGTCTACCCCCTTCCTACTTGGCTCCAGTCAATAGTCAAAGACCTCCAAAGTTTTGATCTGACCACAGCTGACTATTTTCCAACCTAATCCTTTGTCAGCTAACATTGTTCTACGACGAGAGTGATGGCTTAGCATGTGTAATACGTGTCTTGGCCATCTTATTCAATGCAGTTACACAGCTTGATCGCTTAAATTTCCCTCCTTACCTAACATTCTACGCCTAAGCTCAATATTATCCACCATATTATATTCTAGAACGCAAACATCTGTGGTCAAAGACAACTGGTCTCTTCATACCTACAACCTTCAACAGCCATAAAGAAGGCCAGAGTGAACTGCTGCTCGGTGCCTACATCCTTTGATTGATATCCGGATATCGTGTCTTTGCGAGAGATGACTTTAGTGAGCGAATGACTCACAAGGATTTTATATTCCTGCTGAGATTTCGTCAGCAATCAGTCTATTAGGGCTGATACAACCTCCCGAATAAGCGAAGGGGTCACTACACTCAACCACCTAACTTCCTTTCTTTAGCCCGGTACAGATCAGCCCTTCAGTACTTTCTTACATTTGACAGTGGCGAATCGCATCACAAACATACTAAAATTTCTGCTCAAAGTGTTTAGAAGACTTTGCACCTTGGAGCATGATAGCTTTTGCATACTCGAAATTGAGTAGACTGTCTTCTGGTAGCAAGTCATTTCCCAACTCACTGGAGGTTTGATTAGGGTTGCACTCACAAGTACACCTACGATCGAATTAAAAGGAACTGGGGACACCATAGGGATGGGGGTCACCTTCAGCCTGACATTACATAACCTTATGCCCCAGCTGTAATGTTTATGATTTAGGAAACTGAATAATGGTAATAATAATTCATTAAGTTGATTAAAATATAAGGTTTGTTTGCCAGGCATACTTTTTTGTCAGATGATTGCAACTGAAAAAAAGTTTTGATGGAAGAATTTTCTCTTGATTGCTTTGACATAGGTTGGCACAGAATTATTTAATTGAATTTTAGATTTTTCCTTCGATTGATTGGACCGAAGTGCTCCTCGGTCTCAGATTGACATGTCGGCTTCTTGTGCAGATGCTTCGACGATGTCTGGGCATGCAATTAGAATTTAATTGGTGGATGGTGACTAGCAGTGGAATCCAGGATAACGCGCATTTCTACCTGTTTGGGACCCGTTGTACAAGAAGTGCCTCTTGTGGCCCAAGTGGTCTAGTGGATAACGCTTTGGCGTTTGAAACTATGGGCACTGGGTTCGAGCCTCGGTGGGAACATCATCACTCACTGAGGAATTGAGGTACATCCAGATGACGAATCCCAAACAGGAAGAAATGCGCATCCTGGATTCCACTGCTAGTCACCATCCACCAATTAAATGGCACAGAATTGCAAAACTTAGTCAGTCATCATATTGTTCTTTATCGCCCTCCCCCGCCCCCCTTAGTCTTTCTTAGGCTACTCTAAAAGGACTGTGTCACATTGTGGAGGGCATTGAAAATTGTCAAAAGATCAAGTGATGTGTCACTAAAGTCAGCTCATCACTACTGTAGTCCACAAACATTTGAACTCATGCAAAAAATGGGCTAACTCCATATTGTCTGACTCTCTCTCCATCCTATTTATTCACAACTCTCTCTTTGCATCTCATCAAGTAGGACTAGAAGTCATTTTAAAAGATTATATGCTCGTACAACTAAGTAGAAAAACTCAACGATATCCTATTCGTCGGCCAGCCGTCTATATATATGATAGAGAAAGTGTTCAGCGTGAAATCTGCAACTTATTATGTAATTAGGCAAAATAATTGGCTCTTTGACCTTCTCCTATTTGTAAATTATGGTAACATTCTATTTCTGTTATTTTATAATTTTTATTATTATTATTATCTTATACTTTTTTTTGTACATTTTGACTTTATTGTTGTTTTTAAGGCTAAACAAATTGTTATCATTAAGTGTATCAAAAGTACTGTTTTTGTGGAATGAAGCATATTATTACTGTTAGTAGTATTATTATTTCCTCTTTTTGTTTGTATCTGAAAATTTCAGCCTTCCTTTTTATTTATCAATAACAAGTATATACATTTAGACAGAGCGCGTCGGTGGTGGCTCATTAACCACGCAGGTGGTTCGGGGTTCGATCCCCGGCCACTGACGCACTCCTTTACCTCGCTAAGCCAGTAATAAGACTGGTAAAGAGGGGAAGGTTGGGCATAAGGCTAGCTACCGCATCATCACTGCTACCGACACTTCAAAGCCCAAAAAGCTTCAAGCCCTATGTCCCACTGGGAACGTAAAGGAATAAAATAACATTTGAGGCAGAAGTGTATACAGATTTGTTTGTTTATACAGTGTAGCTGATTGTTTATGTTTTATACTTCACGGAGCACTTTTTTGTGTGTACATAACACTAACAGTCTTTTCTTAATGATACTTCTTAAGTAAGTAAGTAAGTAAGTTTAGACACTTGCAAAATAAAAGAGTAGATTGTAATCTACACTTGTCCAATAGTAGGAATTTCAATGTGTTCTAGGCAAAACAAATCAGTTCCCCTGTGATCCCTACAGTTGTTTGATTGACGTGCTGTTTTCATTTCTAAATATTTTTTTAATGATACTTGTTTTAATATAAACACACAGTAAGTACCGCATTTAATTCAAAGGTATTAGATGTTACTACATACAAGTGGAAATCATCTTTTGACTGGACACTAGTCACTAACTAGTGTAGTGTGTGTGTGTTCGTGTGTCTAGTCCTATCTTTGGTGTAGACGGAATTCTGTCAGTCAAGTTTGTAATGTGGTCATCATACTAGTTGGCTTGCTATCACGGCTCACTGTGAATGGTTGGTATTCAATGGTTGGAATCAGTCGCCAGGAAGCCCTACTTGCACCTAGGTTTCATGCCAACTGGCACCCACCAGTCAGTTAGCAAGACGTATCTACAACCTTGAGGAAATTCATGTCCCTTCTGAGATTCGAACCTGTGTCACCTAGTAAGTAGTGCAGTCAAACACGTTACCACTGAGCTATTCGGCCTGACGACTGACCTCCTGTAGGACTGTATTGGATATATTGTTTTTGATTGGACACTAATCAGTAACTGGTGTAATGTGTCTAGTCCTATCTTTGGTGTAGACAGAATTCTGCCAGTTAAGTTTGCGATGTGGCCATCATGCTAGGTGGCTCTTTATCACAGAAATAGTCTTTATATGAAAGTATTTACGTATATTTTCTTTCTTTACCAAAACAAAAAATAGAATCACGTGACAAGTATGTTGGCGATGGAGTAATTACAGACGGGGAAGCAGAAGAAGAAGAGGGGGAAGAAGGTTTTGGCAATACACTCACGAATATGACCACGACTACTACCACTCGTAATCATGAAGAACAACAACACCAACAACAAAAACTCCACAAAGAAGATGGAATGAATTCAAATGATGTCGCTTCTGATTTCAATACAATTCCTCTTCCATCAGCAATCAATAATTCTCCTTCTAATTTAAATGAAATTCTCTATGGTCCTGAAACTGTTCAAATGGAATTGTTATTACGTGTTGCTGACTTACAGACACGTTTGTCTACAATGGAATTGTTTGCTAGTCAGCATCATTTCATACCAGAATCAGATTTAGCTAGCCTGCAATTGGATTATGGAACGTTGAGAAATTTTTATGATTCAGCTAAAATTCATTGGGGTAAAGGTGGGTTTTAAAACATTCTTTTTATCACTGCTGTGTACATAAGACTACAAGCTTGAGCTTTGAAGTTGCAGTAGTGGTGGTTTGATTCTTCTTACGGGTGGGGGAGGGGTTGGTGACCTTTATGACTAACATTCCCTCTTAACCAGACTTACTGCCAGCTTAGAGAGGTTTAGTGGGGCGTTGACATTATTGCGTACAACCCTCTTCGAACCTTACACACAACCATTACGTCACGTACACTATTCCATCGTCATTGGCAGATCTGACAACGAAATGTCAAGAGAACACCATCAGAGCACATGACAGGCCAACTACCCTTTCTAAACCTATGTTTTAACATTGTTAGAGTATAGGTTTTCAAGTTCACTTAAAATTCTAATAATTTTAATAGTCAATGTTTGTTTTACCCCTTGATTGTTTGAATGTAAGGCCTCTGTTGGCAATATAGGCTCCTGACACGAACTCCTCGACGATGTCTGGGAATTAACGTTGTGTTATTTGGTGGATGGTGACTAGCAGTGAAATCCATACTGTTTATTTCGTCCTATTTAAGACTCATCATCTGGATATGCTTCCCATCTCCAGTAGAAACACCATCACTCTCTCTGGGGGATTTCAGGGGTACATCCAGATGATGAGTTCCCAAGTAGGATAAAATGAGCATCGTGAATTCCATTGCTACTCACCAAATAATATAAAGGTTCTAATGAGTCCCCTGAATTTTTATTTTCTCAAGATGGTATAATTATAATAATTTTTCTAATAGTTCTATTGGGTGGCAAAAAGCCGAAATTTGGCATATTGTACTGTGCTCTATGCATTATGATTTACAAATGTGGTTCATTAGTTGTTGACCTATTTACTTATTTTTCATCTAGACAGATCTCACTTCATGAGTATCTACAGCATCCACCATGAATTAATTTAATTATAATCGAATTTGCATTTAGTTGTAATTACGTAGCTATCCTGCGTTTTATGGTTTTGTTGTCTCGACCAAACTCTTTGCTTGCTATGAAAAAGTTGACTGTTTTCCCTTTAGAAACTTGTGTATAGTAGTTTTCATTTGTGTTTCATTAGTTCCTCGTGAAGCATTAACCTTTTTTTATTTTGCTCTCCTCCAATTTCTTTGCTATACAGACCCCCAATTCGATGCTAATGAAGTGCTGATAAGTGAATTGAATCATATGGCTGACCAATTAGACAAACTGGTCGGTTATACACTGAACACGAATGAGACGCGGTCATTACAATCATCCTCGACTTCTTCATCACCTGCACCACATACTGCAGTACCACAACCAGCACCACGACCATCTTCAAACTCTGTGTCAGTATCTGATCTTCCTGCTTCTTGTTGGAAAGATTTAAATATTTTTAAACTTTCTGATCATACATCATCAAGTGAACAGAAACCTGTGAAAAATACCACAGATAGTGGTGTCCTGTCATCTCCATCTTCTTTACCACGATCAGATCATGGTCGATTATCTTCTATATCGCCTTTACAATCACCAATTGCTGAAGGTTAGTTCAGCATTATTGCTTTGTATAGGTTTCGAAATATTGATGTATATATATTAACTGCATCATGCCTATTCATTGCTAATGAAGTTTAAAGTACAGTGCAGCTGTGATTCATTGATCTCTAGACGTTTGACTTCCTACCTACCAGTAGTAGTAGACCATGGGCTCGAATCCCGCTCCAGGTACCACCAGGAACAGCCAGGTAGTTTTACTGTGGTGAGGGCTGGCTGCTAGTCAAAATTGGTAGATAGTAATTTACGTCAATGTTTATATCCTTAACATTGGTCATGTGAAAACAAGAACAAAGACTGGCTCAACAAACAATCACAGCAGACTTCGCGTAGGCGGATACAATCTGCAGGTAGATAATCTAAACTTCAAGAAACGGCCTCAAAGAGGTGAAAGATTAACGTTCTGCGAGAATCCACCAATCAGAAGACTGTGTTTGTTTGCTTACAATAATCTATAATGTACATGAAAATATATAAATATGTGTTGATTTCCTAAATAAACGATCTGTTGCCTGACCCTTGTCTTCTACCGTCACATTACTAGCCCTTACACCAATAGACGTGTGGTTAATAGCCAATAGAATAGAATAGAAAGTGGTTTTTGAGTAATATTTCATCTCTCAGTATGTACATAACACTTAACGACTCATTGTATAAGTGAATTTTCACACTGCGAAATGAAATGTGAACTTTATGTGTACAGGTGGTCATTAGATTGTTCACACTTTCATAGATTTGTCTCAGTATCTGTCGTGTATATATTCATATAAAGTTATCTGAAATGTCTGATAAGAAAGAATACGGATAGTTATGTTGGCTGACAATACAATATACAATGTGATTTGCATTTGTGTGATTAGCGAAGCTTGTGTATCATAAAGACTATTATTATTATTCCCTTGGGTTCCAAGTGGAACATAGGGCTTAAACAATGCATCTCCACTTTTTCCTATTCTGTGTCATCCTCTTCAGCTGGGTCCACGATTGCCCATAGTCTCTCATCTCCTCCTCTTCGCTACATGATCTCCTCCATGTCACCCTCACACTGACGACCTACTCGTCACTCCCCATTTGGATTCCACTCGAGCGATATCCTGCATTAAGCGCGATGTCATTCGACGGCCTCCTCAACGTATGCCCAATCCATCCATCTATATTTTCTCCTAAATATCTGTTGAGCAATCGGTTCTTGGTTGGTTTGTCCCACTGGGGAGTTTCTTCTTGCTAGTTCTTTCTGGCTGGCCGACCGGCTGGCCATTTGATCTTCAGTATGGAGCCAGCGAAGGTAGGCAGCTGTTGACAAAAGTCTCCACTGGCCTGTTGGAAATGTTTTACGTGACAGTCTGTGTGCGTTGATTTTCTGTATACTTGTGTTTCTAAATTTCCTGTGTTAGTTCTCTTGATTAAGGTATCTGAGAATGGAATTTTGTTGTCTAATTCTTCTTCTCTTGTGAATTTAACGTCTTCAAATATATTGTTTAATTAATTTGTGGGTATATTCCAAATCATTTCTTTTAATTATTACAAATGTATCACAAATGTACCACCTGAGCTACCAATCTTCTCCATTATTTTAAGATGATTGTTCTCTTGTAAATTTAGGTATCTTGAAGGCATCGTACATTCATGTGTTATCTTGGGCTTCAAAGTGGGATAGATGTAGTGTTCTATTTCCCTTAATTTTTTGGATTGGTGCCACTTATACTCTCACCCTCAAACAAAACCACTTTTCTCTCTCTCATATTCGTTTATATCTTCTATGTAAAGTTTAGTAAGACGGTTAAGTATTCAAAACAGAATTCAATGGCTGTTTTGTTTCTGAATTTCTTATTAGATCAGTCATTGAAACGAAGCAGACTCTCTCGTGTAATGATTAGATATGGTTTAAATATCGTTGAATCATGAGAAAAGGGATTCCTGGGAAATATTCACACTGAATTGGCTAAAAACGTTTATCACCATTCTTCAGACAAACGCATACACTTTTTCTCATAGATTTCGCCTTCTAATCTGTTCAAAAACTGTGTATTCCTCTTAGTTTTGTTTTTATTCAGGCATTCTATTCAAATTTCCTCTTAGTCTAAATTTGGATCCAATCAGTTCAGCTTTCTTCCTTCCTCCCATCCTTCATTCCAGTCAATTTTCACTGGATTTTGGTTTTGCTCGCTAATTGTGTTCGTTAACTTTAAACCCAGTAGTGGAGCTTGTATGCATTTGAAGATGTATTCACTCTTTGTAATCTCCCAGTATATCCACTAAGTCCTCATATCTTTTTCCACCATATTACTATTCTTTCTCCTGTGTACATTTCTGCTTGTTATTGTCCTTTTGAATTGATATTTTTCTTATGCATTCAAGTATTGATTTTTGGGGATTTGATTGATTGGTTCTAGGATTTCATTATGAGCTGACCTTGGTTAGAGAACCACTGGAAAACCTGAGAGTGCCGTAAAGCTGTTTCGTCGTAGTTTGGGACTCCCCACAGCACGCACCCACCGGCTTTCGAACCCAGAACCTTCTGGCTACAAGGCGAGCAGAAGTTGGAATTCATGAACAGTTGGATGAGGTCCCACTGACTTAATGGTCTACGAGCTCGCCTTGTAACCATGTCCTGGATTAGAACCCAGGAGGGTGCGTACTGATGAAGAGTCCGAAACTAGGCTGACGAAACAGCTCTCTGGTACTCCCAGGTTTTCCAATGGTTCTCTAACCGATGCCATCTTATCATGAAACCCTGTAGCCGTTTTTTATGCCTTTGTATGCTAAAAAAATACATAAAGTGTGACACTTTAAACTGATTTACTTCTGTTCAAGGTTTTACATCGGAAGGTCTCTGTCAGTCTGTAATTCATTTGTATTAGGTTGTTCACCTCCTTTTTTGTTATTATTGTCGTTTATTTTGTTTTATTCTGTGCTTTTACAATAGATTCATTATCGGAACTTGAAAGTGTATACTTTGAATTAATGCAACATTATAACAAAATAAAAGAAATGCCTATGACTCCAGTACGTGCTGAACAATTGTACAATTTAATGAAGGTATGGCTAAAATTTCAACTATTGTTCACGCATTTTTCACTATTTTACTATTTTATTTCCTTCTTCTATATGTGAAAATGTAATATTAATTCTTTTAGCATTTCAACGCTTTAACTTTTAAGGATGTGATTATAATGATTGAAGTTTAAAATGACTGACTGACTGGTCTCGACGTGGAACTCTACACAGATGTGCAGCAGTTCGAGTTGCCACTCTCCCTTCTTGTGGCACACAAAGCAAGAGAAGAGAGTAAACAGAGATGCAAAACAGAGAGAGATAAACAGAAATATAAGTGAGGGAAAAATAACAGTAATTTGGAAGAACAACAGAATTTTATTGAATATGATCAATCACACAGAGGAGTGAATGCATCTGAGCCAGCCGTTGAGGACGATTTTCAGCCATATCACCGACTGCCTCCAGCCTTCATTCGGTTTTACCATCCGGAGGACCCCAACCACGAAGCCAGTGTACACCTTCCTACGTTGCTAGTTTAAACTAACGATTGTGCATTTCATTGACTGATGAAGCCATGTTTTCGTGTTTGACCACCATTAGCTTTCTCTTTTCCAACCTGATCCATCCTTTGTCAGCTAACATTCCACGTCGGTTGAGGAAGGCGATGGCTGGGCATAAATGCGTAACACATGTCCTGCACAAATTAGTCGATTGATTTCCCCTCCTTACCTAGCAATCGACCGAAACCTAACCCCAATGTTACTCACCCTATTATACCACCTAACAAACACGAAAAATAGAACGCAGGCACCTGTGATCAATGACAGCTAGCCTTTTCATGTCTTCCACTTTCAATGGCCAGATCTCACTCACAGCCATAAAGGAGGACGGAGCGGACTGCTGAGCAGTACACATACCCTTTGGATGATAGCCGGATATCACGTCTACGCCAGAGATGGCGGAAGTTTGAATACGCCAAACGAGTCTTTTGTATCCGTGCTGAGATTTCTTTAGCGATCAACCCGCTGGCACTGACTGGGTTGATTCAACTTCCCACCACCACTTCACTGCCTCCTTATCTTTAACCTAGGAGTCAATGTAGTCCAGTCAAAGCTTAAAATGGAAACCCGGACGGTGAGATTATTTGAACCAGGAGACAATCATCCAGATTTCTCTACCAGTTACTCTTAATGCTTACGTTCAAGGTGAAAGATTTGGTCTTCGTTCAGAATAGATATTTCTGAGTTGTACATTCCAACCCTTTAGGAATAAATTAATTATATTTCTATTTTATTTGTTTTTTCTCATTCGTTTTGTGAGTGGTTGAAATATTCAGCTTAGGACATACATTGTGTGTATTTATGTATTTTGTAGCTATTTTAATGTGGAAAACGAGCTAACAAATAAAGTGTAAAAGCATGAAGAATAATTTTTCGATACAGTGACCAATTTTCAGCTATGTTGTATATAGCTTTCTGTCGGCCGCCATAAAAACGACCTGGTAGAGCCGAGGTTGGATTGGCTTCGATTTTCCTCTCGAAATGCTGTCATGTAGCCACGCTTTTTGACCCCTGTCTTCACCGTGCGGGGATTTTCCTCATAAATGTGAATTGGAAATCTTGGCGTGTGCAACCGAGCTAGTGAACATGACATGCAGTTCTACCTAGGGAATCTAGAAAACCCTAATTTCAAACCTATGTTGTGTACACGTGCTCCAGAATCTGAAATGGTCAAATGGCTTATGATCCTGTTTTCGTCACCGGAAACTGTGGGAATGCAGTTCCTGACGCATATCCACTACCTTGTGAATCCGACTTTAGGCTGAAGGTCTCGGGGAGTGGTTTCTTAAGACAAACACCTGCTTCGGTCTGGATGCCTGGACAGTATCTCATCGCTCAAACTTCAAGATATTTGTCCCCATAATGTATCAAGTTTTTGTTTTAATAAATTATTATATTAGCTTTCTATCACTGAACTGTGAACGACATTGAGGTCGTTGTAATGTAATTTCATATATGCATACAATAATTATATTGTTATTTCAGTACAAATAAAAAGTGCTATAGTTATTATTATTATTGTTCCCTTGGGTTTCTAGTGGAACATAGGGCTTCAACTGCACGTATCCACTTACTTCTGTCTTCTGCTGTACTTTTCACTTGCATCCATGTTAGTCCATACATTTTCAACTCCTCTTCACACGATCTCCTCCATGTCACGCTTGGACTTCCCACTCGCCACTTCCCTTTTGGGTTCCACTCGCAGGCCTGACGCACGATGTCACCCATTGGCCTCCTCAGCGAGTGTCCAATCCATCTCCAATTTCTCCTGCCTTGTGCTCACACATATATTCAGAATTGTATTCACAGTTATTTTAATCAGGGTTGTTAGAAAAGCTAACGTACCGTGTAGGACGCGAACTTCACTGGTTCTGAATATCAATATTAAGGCTAAAATTTTCCATCAGTTTGCTAAGAAACATTGTAAGGGATTACATAATAAAATGAAATATTTGATCACTAAATATGAATAAGTGTTAGAGAATGTAACAGTTAAATTGTGTATGGATGATTGGTTGAACAACTTACAAGCATTGATACATTTCTTTCTATCGAGTATATATAGGCATTGTGACTCAAGCTTTCGATAAATAATCTATAGGGCATGATTATTCCATCCTAAGACTTGTTTGTTTTCTTACGTTATATTTTTATTTTAGCGTCTCTATGATTTAGCGTTGACCGCTGAAAACCGTTCAAGTATTATTGCATCACCGGAAGAATTGGAGCGTATTTTCCAATTAGATGGTGATACAAGAAAATTAAGTGAAAATTTAGAACGTGCTATTGCCTTACAAAAACAGCTGTCGAATTATCAGAATTGTGAGTTTTAAAATACTTGTGTTGTTGGTTTTTTTTAAATGAATTTTTTATTTATTTTGGTTTTGTGTGTGTGTTTGTGTGGAATGCCAACTGATATTTTTTTTCAAATGATGGACGTTTCAATGCAAACCTATGCATCATTTTCAGAGTTATTTTCATCTTTTTAGAACTGATCAAGTGTACATAGCTTGAATAGTTCCATAAGTGTACCATACTGATTATCTAGAAATCTTTGTTGAAAGCAATTAAAATGATTTATTAATACTTAAATATCCCCATCATGATAATTATGAGGCATGATTATTTAAGCACATGTGTATCTTCAGTAACTTCTTATCAGGCTTTGCAGTTACATAATTGTTACGATCGGAACTACGACCTAGTAGACTATGAGCGAATGCTAACTTAATGCGCTGGCTAATCTGTCCTATTCGCATGTCAAAAACAATGACACCGCCGGTATGCATAGACAAAAGAAAAGACTGGACGTTGATAAAAGAGCTTTTAGATTTTCCCGTCGATTGATTGGACCGGAATGCTGGGTCTCGGGTTGACATGTTGGCTCCTTGTGCAGATGATTCGACGATGTCTGATTATGTAAGCTGAGGTCATTGGTGGATGGTGACCAGCAGTGGACTCCTCAGGTGGATGGATGTACCCGCATTCCCCAGTGAGTGATGGTGTTCCCACCGAGGCTCGAACCCGGTGCTCATAGTTCGGACGCCAAGTCGTTATCCACTAGACCACTTCATCCATGAGAGCCACCTCTTGTGCAATGGATATTAGTAATTATTTAATTCGATTTGGATTTTCCAGTCGATTGATTGGAGCGAAGTGCTCGGTCTCAAGTTGAAATGTCGCAGCCCAAGTGGTCTAGTGGATAACGCTTTGGCGTTTTAAACTATGACCACTAGGTTACAGCCTCATTGGGGGAACACCGTCACTGACTGACTAGGGAGTGCAGGTACATCCAGTTGACGATTTCCAAATAGGACGAAGTGCGTATTATCCTGGATTCCACCACTAGTCACCATCTACCAGTTGAATAGAAATAATCGAATCAAATACAATCAAGTAGAATGTAAGTAGCATAATTATAATGATAAACTCTGAAACCATGATTAAAATGTCCAACTGTAGTACAGTTATGATACCGATAATAAAGTTATCAGTACAAATAAAAATAATATTTAGAGTTATCTGGTGTCACCGGGAGAGATAACTTCCCTAGGTTGAATTTGAAGGCCATCGGAGGGATGGTGGATTGAACAAACATTTTCCGAATACAGAAATTGGATTGACAACTTTTTTATGGCAACTGCCTCAGTCAGCTATGCGTAACAATCGAAGGTGTACAAACTTAGGGAATTGAGTTGGTACCTTTTATAGAATTGTAAAGGCTGAATGTGTTTATCAGTTTTGGTGCTCCGTATCTACCAGGTTCGCCATTATGGAACTCCTGATTGACTTTACGAATCCTTTACCTAGTCACCTTGTTCATAATTTGAAATAACCATAGTCTTCACATTAATACGTATGTGGTTCATTTAGTAGTGCGAACACTGGTCAACCAGGCAAAGTGGTCTGGGGTTCGATTCCTGGATAACGTACTCGCCTAGGCTGTAGTAAGCCCGGTAAAGAGGGGAGAGATTGGTCGTGAGGCGTGCAACTCCATCCTGCAAAAAACACCACTGTTATTGAAACTTCAAAACTCAACAAGCCTGAAGCCCTAAGTTCCACTGGGGACACAAACGCATAACATAATAGTAATGTAACGGCAGAAGACGAAAGACTTGGTAAAGGAACGTTTATTTGCGATTTTTTATCTCTATATAGCCAAATTATGTACACCTTATCTCTTCAACACACCATCTGCACAGATCTTCCATGTGTTTCTTTGTGTTCCTTTCACGTCTCGCATGTATCTCTGCGACGCTAAATCATTTCCCTTCTCTGATATCAAATCTATCTCTCTGCTATTTGATGTTTTTATGCCGATGAAAATCTCTTTACATACATACTACTGATAAAGTTTAACAGTAGTACACTCCACAGGTATAGTTTCAACATAATTATCATACTGACTTTTTAAATTCCTAATTTCCCCTGATAAATATAAATCCTCTCTTTTTTAAATTCAGCTCCCCCTAATTCTGAATCGAATTCTATATCATCACATGAAGAGACCAATCTACACAAAGATAATAGTACGAATAAATTGTCTTCAGTTTCATTAGCATCCTATGCAAGAAAAGGTGGATCACAAAATATTAAAAAAGTGAGTGTATATTCTCTTTCTTTTCTAATTAAATAATAATACTAATTTTCATACTTGAAAATTAATCTGATGCTCACTAGTAACTGGTCCTGTTCAGGCAGTTAACCTGGGGTTCTGCTGGAAAGCCGTGACCAGTAGGGTACAGCAGGTTGAAGATGAGGCAGTAACTTATCGAAGAAGACAGTGGGAAGTGGTTGTGCTATGTCGTGAATTGGCAGAAGTTAGAATTCAAGGACCATTGGATAGGGTCCCAGTGGCTCAATGGTGTACGAGCCCGCCTTGTAATCGGAAGGTCCTGGGTCCGAACCCTGGTGGTGGGTGCGTACTGGTGAAGAGTCCCAAACTAGGACGAAATAGTTGTCCAGTACTCCCAGGTTTTCCAATGGTTCTCTAACTGATGTCAGCTCATGATGAAATCCTCCATGCAATAACACTAATAATAATAATGCATGACATTAAAACAATTAATGTCTAATTTAGATGACAGTTACGCAATACAAAGAGCGTTAGTTGGGTAGAAATTGAAATAAGGTTAAATAAGTGAATTAATTGCATGACGTAATTTAGTTAACAGGATTGAGTAGAACTCAATTAACAGTTGAAAGAATTAAGACCAGCGTCGTAAAGAGTAGAAATGTAGTAGTGGGTGCGTGCGTGCGTGGGTGAGGGGGAGACGAGGGGGAAACAATTAAAATAACTGAAGCACGATATGTAATTTTTATTAATGTAAGTGTAGAACTTCGGCCCTGTGGTGGTAGAATGTAATTCCATATTAGATAAGCTCATTTTTAAATATCACACAGCGATACAGTGTTAACAACTGGGTGACGTTTCGAGCTTAAATTATTGCTCATAATTATATCAATTTAGTCACATGGTCTCACAATTCGTCTTTCATATATTCTCTCTTTCTGTCTCTCTTCAACTTCTCTTTGTTGTTTGTTGCGACTTCCATATCTCCGGTATAAGCGTTGCGTCACTCCGATTGCATGTGTGCGGTGTTGAATCGATAAACAAAGCTTCGGTGATTGACCCATCTCTCTCTACCTAACTATGTTACTTTTTAATACTCTCACGCTGTCTGACTCACTGTATTTTATGATTATATGCAAGTGAATGCAGTGCAATGACTAAGCTTTCTTCTAGGTTATTTAACTTAGCAGGGTCAATCACCACTCTAGGTCCACTAGCTAAATTTTTGTGTTCCAATAATCTAGTTGACCCTGATCTACTAGTTTGACCTATGTAATTGACCTCACTGACAGTCATTACATGGTATTTGATAAATTACATTATTTTTCTTAATTGGATCTGTTGGGTCCTTAAGTCGACAAAATTCATCTCTGAGAGATTTTGCTGGTTGGTTTAAATGCCACCGTAATTCCAGCGTCATTGAGATTCTTACGTAAGGCCTCTGACTTTTCTTCTTTATACAGTGGTACTACAGAGGCTTTGAATTCCATATAATTTTTGCCATTTTTGCTAACAAAATGCTTCAATTTAGACACCTGATATTTTCATTTCCGGAGATAACTGGAGACTGTCACTTTATACAGACATTAGAATCCTAGAGTAGATCAATCGTAAGGCCACATAGTACAGTTGTAATGTGTTTAAATTTAGTACTTGGTGACATGGTTTCGAATCTCCGAGGGGACGTCAGCCCCCCCCAGTCTGGATATCAGCACCTCTGACGAGTACCAACAAGCATGATACCTAGTTTCAGGGATTCCAGCTGATTGCAGTAAACTGCTTAACATTTAATGTTGTGGATCTTCTGCAAACGTAACTGTTAGAATTCAGTCGGCATTAACACTGAGGACACTAGACACGTGACAATGATTACTCCCAATGTGACTGAAGATACCAGATGATTGGGAAGGAAGAACCTATTTTCAACAAATATGCAGAAAGAAACGGAGGTGGGATTGGGCATACAGTGAGGAGATCTTCCTGCGATATCTCATGTCGGACTGTCGAGTGGAATCCAAATAGAAAGCGTTGAGTTGGGCGTCCGAGTGTGTTATTCAGGAAATCATTTGAAAAGGGCAGTCGTGGAGCGGGTCGAAAATGATGGCAAAGTTAAACTTTAAGCACCACTACCAATCAGCGAATGACCTCGAACGCATCAATCACGTGAAGGAGGCATTTTCGTGTATGGAATACATATATTTATGAAATAATGCATAAAAACTGTAGGAAAGTGTTACAGAGGATACTTTGCTCTCACATGTGATATCAATAGCGTATAATTCCATTGTGGGTAAAATTTATTTTGATAATATCTCATATTGTATTAATACAGTAATATTTCCCGAGCAGTAAATTGTGCTCGAAACGTCATCAGTAAATATGACTGTATAACACGGTGAGACCTTATCAAAATAAATGTTACCCACAATGGAATTATACTCTACCACAATGTACAAGTTCTATTCTTATATCAACAAAGTAATTTAACCACATTCTATGCATGTAATTATTTAGGTCTCCTAAACCTAACAATGTGCGTCGGTGTCACAGCGGTAGAATGCTTGCCAACCACACATGTGGTCCGGGGTTCGATCCGTGGCCGACGCACTCCTTTACCTCACTAAGCCAGTAACAATCACGGTAAAGTGGGAAGGTTGGGCATGAGGCTAGCAACCCCATCCTGTAAAAATAAACACCACTGCTACCGAAACTTCAAGCTTACGTTCCACTGGGAACATTAAGGAATAAAAAAACCTAACAATAACCCTAATCTTTCCTGAACCTAACCGTTACGTGAAAATATGCCTAAACTAGCTGTAATCTAACCCAAATCAAGCGTAATGTCGCCTTTATTAGGTTAACCTAACCCTAACTTTTCCTTGGCTTAAACCGCAACTTAATCTTTCCCAAACCTAAGCTGAAACTTCCCAGAAATCCCATAACACTTCGATGAGCATATTTTATTGATGATGACAACATTATTTGTCAGGCTTCACTGACTTGCTCAATGAGCGTTTGAAGGTCATTGTTGCAGTCGCAATCCATTGTTAGTCAGTGGTGCTTAAAGTTTAACTTGGCCAAAATGATGATAGAAAACCGAAAATCTAATTGTTACATGTGATTGCATTTATATAGTCTTGTCACAGAACATTTAATGCCAATAAACCTTGATAATTTGATGGTTGGACCGATATTATCAGCCTATTTATTCTTCTTGTTTTGCCATGTAGAGCACTATTCATTCACAGTCTGTCACTTCACATGATTCGTCTTCATCAAATCAAGATAGTGGCTTGTCTACACCACCAGAAAGTTCTGATGGTATGAAACGGCTACCTAATCAATTGAATAGTTATGACAACCCTCATTATCACCAACATCCTCATCCTCGTCAATCATCATTATCACTTCATAAAACACCTACCAATCAAACAACACCTATCAATCATCATCATAATAATTCACAAACAGACAATTCTTACAGTAGCCAAAAGCATGAGCACTCGGATAGTGGTTTCGCCTTGTGTCCGCAACCAGTTCAACCGAGAAGAAGAACAAGAAAATCTAATGGCACTGAACACCAAAAAGGTTATCACAATCAGTCGAATCATTCAGATGGGCAGCAAGATATGCCGAAGAGAAATTCGCCAACTTCATATTCTCAAACAGATTCTTATAGTCAGACTACTAAACAGTAAGTAGACACAATTATTTGTTTTCGACTAAAAGTAGTTTCAGTTATTCGTTTTCGAAAAATAGAAAACAATTAATATAAAGATGGAAATTACCTCTGATTATTTATTTCTTTTTTCTAAGTACAACTCTCTTCTGTCTGTTTAATTTTTTATTGCTGCTGGTGTTTCTCTTCACCATGGTAACGTTTGATTTATTGATTACAAAATCCTTTTTGTGATCAAATTAGGTTACAAAGTTTTAGTTTTTTCTTTGAACCTTAATAAGGTGATGAATTTTTTTAGTGTAACGGTAGGTTTGGCTTACCTGGTTATATTTTGCTCAAAAACTTCCATGATGACAGCGGTAGTATCGATATCAGTGTGGCGGGGAGGGGAGGGTTGGAGCGACATGCAACATATTGGCTTCAGTGATCGACTTTCAGTCAATGCGTTCAGTATTCTAATCTTGTGCCATCAACGTCAACTTGAGCTCTCACCCAGTAAGTGTACCTCATAGCCCGGTACCGGTTAGCTAAGCTCTAGCACTAAAAATGAGGGAGTACTGAACAGGTGTTTCGCTCTTGTTTGGGACTCTTCATCAGTACGCACCCTTGGAACCCAGGACCTTCAGTTTACAAGGCAGTCTTGTCAATCATTCAGCCACTGAGGCGGAATCCAATGACTGACCAATTCCCAACCTCTGCTAATTGAGGATTAATAGCGCTAGCCAATATCAGTGGCTTGATGGACCCTGCTGGTCACTAGCTGTCACTAGAGTATATACAGGAACGATAGAGAATATGGTATGCATAGATTTTCACAGATTTTGAAGTCAATATATGATAGGTGCATCTGTTAGTAAAGCTGAAGAGTAGCGCATCAGTTCAAGTCGGTTACACTTCGGAATAAGATGTACAAGTGGATTAAAGGGCAGAACCTTTGTATAATAATTACAATACTCTTCCTTTTAGGCTAAAAGTGATTATTAGAATGCATCAATTGGATCAGTTACCATGGAAAAGGTTCAGTAATTAAAATTAGTCGTTTTTCGTTAACAGAGATGGAGTAATATTCTATAATCATATCTAAGTTCTAAGCTTCAATTAACAAGTTGATTTAAAAGCGTCTAACCTTTCTCTTTCGATCATTTGTAGACGAATTGATGCTTTGGAGGATGGTGTTCGTATGCTGAAAGAAAATCTTGGCAATCTTTATTTAAGATCTGAAAATTGTACACCAACTTCAAAAATAGAAAATATAAAGTCAACTTGTCCACAAAATGTACAACAATCCCCTCTGTATACCATGAATCCACATAATTCCTTACCTCTTTCAGGTATAAATAATAATAATTCAGAAGTGATTGCTTTTCCACAATTCTCATCTAGTATTCCTTACATGGGCAGTAGTAATGGTAGTAATGGTCAGTTTTTATCCCCTGGACAATTGAATTCATCAGCATCATCGTCATCATCCACTCACCATCCACCATATACTGATACATCAAATGCACCAATATTAAAATTACAATTAACTGGACAACCAAACTGTAATCCTCGCTTACAACAGGATGTTTGTGAAAACAGTAATATTATTAACAGTAATGCGAATGCTAATCAAAGTTCAAATCGGCAAATTAGTGTTAATCGACCCTGTCGAACATATCATCGAACAGCGGATAAAAGGTTTGTTTAAATGTTCTTTATCGCTGCTTCTGCTGTATACACCTTTTTTCGCCTTAAGTTATGACAACAACTCGTCTCTCTTGTCTTTTCTTTAGATAATTTATCACAAAAAGCTTTGATTATCTTTGATATGCCTTTTTCTTTTCTATAGTTTGGTTTGTAAGGGTTAGTTATGTTTTTTTACGAGTTGATTATGGATTGATATCAGTTAGAGAACCATTGAAAGCCAGGGAGTACTGGACAGCTGCTGTTTCATCCTAGTTTAGGAATCATCGGCAGTACGCACCCACCACCAGGGTTCGAACCCAGGACCTTCCGGTTAGAAGGCATGCTCGTTTACCATTCAGCCACTGGGACCCGATTCAGTGTTCAGTGCATGAATTCTAACTTCTACCAATTCGTGTGAAATTTGATAAGATAGAATTCAATATTGTAAAAATATAAAAATTAATAATTGTGGGTTTATTATGACAAGTGGGACAAGCGGAAACAATTCAGAGAGAGAATAGTAACATTAATGTTAATAATAATAATCGTAATAATAAGGGAAAGGTACATAGAATAACTAAATAAACAAAATAAATAAATGTCTATCCCTCTACGGCCAAGGCAGAAGTAGGGATTGTACATACTTCTTTTGTACACAAAGGTCTGGCTTAAAGTCATGAATTGCCAAAAGCTTCCGCTGTCTTTAGAAGTCTGTAACGAAGAAAACGCAGCAAGTTAGCATGGATTCGGTAGATGATCTCAAAATCATGTTCAGGGTTTGGTAGAGTTCCAGGAGTCGATCAGATGTTCTAGAATAGAGCTTCGCACACACTTCCTTTCTCCCTTGTAAAACTACGCTGGGATATTTTCTCGTATCCTAGAAGCCACGCTCGCAGAAAACGGAATTATTAACTTATTATACTGTAGATTACCTAAGATTTCCATTATATTACTTACTTATATTACTCTTTATAGATTAATATGCACCCAACAAAATGATACCAGTTATTCATCATCGTCTACTTCTAATCCACAAAATACTGGAAAACAATACATGACACTGAAGCCGAATCGGTCTACAATTCATGATTCATCTAATGGTGCTTGTAAAGTATCTCAGTATTCTGCAAATAAAAGAGATTTAAGTTGTTCAAGACCAACTGATCAACACCATCGTCATCGTCGTCATTCACAATTCAATAAAGTAGCAGGTATGCATTTTAGATGACTTTTTGTTTGTGGTATATTTTTTTAAAATTTGTGGATGGTGACTAGCAGTGGAATCCAGGATAACGCGCATTTCGTCCTATTTGGGACTCATCAGCCAACTGGATGTACCTGCATTTCCCAGTGAGTGATGATGTTCCCACCGAGGCTCGAACCCAGTGCCAATGGTTTTAAACGCTAAAGTATTATCCACTAGACCATTTGGGCCACGAGAACTATCCACCTCTTGTGCAACGGGTCATATTAATTATTTAATTGAATTTGAGATTTTCCCGTCGATTGATTGGACCGAAGTGCCCAGACATCGTCGAAGCATCTGCACAAGAAGCTGACGTGTCAACCTGAGACCGAGCACTTCGGTCCAATCAATCGATGGGAAAATTTCAAATTCAATTAAATGTTATTTTTTTTTCTTATGGTTAGTTTACATTTTATTAAGTTGGATACTTTTAGTGTTCTATTTCGCAATTGTGCTTATTAAAAAGAAAGGAACTAGTAGTGAGATTATGGGTATTATTATTATTAAAGCGCAAACCTCGTAGATTATGGTCACCAAGTATTATGGTGTGACCGAGTGTAAAAGCATGCGCTGATGAGATATAACGGACGATAACGTACAGACTGGTAGTGCTGATTAGTTAATTTGTCCTGATGCGAAGAGAAAAATCAGAAGACCACTTCGTTCACGAATGGATACGTGTATTTTCCAACAAGGAAAATTAACTGTCACACCAGAGTGTGAGTAAAAAGTACGAAAATAGTGTATTTTTATCCTACAATACAAGAGTATTCATAGAAAATAACTAACACACATGAACCAATAAGTTGGATCAGTAGTTTTTCTTATCACCTTACTGGATTCTGATTGGTTGTAATTTCATGTGACAAAGGTGATACATTGTTTACTTATTTTTGATATGGTTGTGTTCTCTGAGCTGGATAGTTAATTTGCGAAGCTTTCATCACTCTACTAGGTGACATCTTCAGCGCATACTTCAATTTGAAGTGAGCTTTTAGATTTCTTCACGAAATTATTAATCATCTCTCCTGGCGACCTTGGATGTGATTGGTTGTTTTTGTGTGTTTTCACACCTTCTAGGTTACTTGTATTGTCACTCATTGTTTCTTTGACTTGAACTTTGACCCTTTGTGTGTGAGGTTTCTTTCTTATAGGTTGATAAATTTTGTCTATCTCGATGTGTCTATTGATTGATGATTCACTGGAATGCCAAGCTTCTAAAAATTCTCTGGCATTCTTGTTGTTTCCTCTGTCTAATATTTGAACGTTGTCCCAGTCGAATTGATGTCCGTGGTTGTCCGTATGTAGTGATATGAGGGAGTGGATATCATGTCTTTTGACAGCTAGCTGTCACTTCAAATTGAAGTATGCGCTGAAGATGTCACCTAGTAGAGTGATGAAAGCTTCGCAAATTAACTATCCAGCTCAGAGAACACAACCATATCAAAATCATCCACCTGAGCTACAAATCTTCTCTATCATATTGTTTATTCAGTTAATGGACAGACAAAGCAAATTGTGAGTTATAGTGGAATAATGATCCATAGACATATAGCAAAATACATCAGACTGGCAAAAAAGCAGATGTCATGTGACTACGTATCACCAAGATATGCAGCATGCACAATCGCATAGTTTGTTTGAGGGATTGAATATACGTGGTTGGTTGTCATGAGGGGCCACCTGTGAATCTTTGACTTGAAACCTGATGCACAAGGCGCAGTGGAGAGAGTAGCGTTAGGAACTGTGTTCTCATGGTTTCTGGTGAACAAGACGGCAGGTTCATACACATACATTGGATCATTTCAGACTCTGGAGCTCTCAAGTACACCATACGTTTGGAACCGAAGTTTCCCAGCTCCCCTACTTATAGCTACATGTTCACCAGTCCGGTTCGCATTCGGCCTCTTTTACTTTTGTGAGGAACACCCGGCGCTTGTCTGAAGGTAGAGAACAGGACTTATCTGACAGAGGCTATATGGGATGATGGGTATAGAATAGAGAATCATAGTGGACATATCTGTACTGTTGTGAATTATTTTCAACTATATCACTAAGCGTTTTCAGCTATACATCCTTATAATTAAAACAAACTCTTGTATGCGAACGAAACTTTTCTGAGCAACTTAAACAAAACAGTTAAAGGTTTCATAAATTAATGATATCTCCTGGTCTTACCATCCCTAACTGTTTTCCAACCTCTCACACACAGACACGCACAACTTCATTTGGCATTACTCATAAAGCAGATTGGTTGCTTGAAATGTATAACACATGTAGCAACCATTTCAAAACCAATGAGAATCGACAACTTTTTATTGATCGATCTGCTTTTCTTACGTAACTGTATACATCTAATCTTAAAATTACTCTTTATGTGGTTCCACCCAATGTGAGCAAAGTTTGACGAAGGCGTCTTAGACTAGATAACAAACTTTGATCTTTACATAGCCTAGATTTCCGAGACACACACACACAGACTTAAAGGAGAACAGAATGGACTGTGGCTCAGTGCACTTACATGGCCTTAGTCTTAACCACTGTAACACAAATAATAAAAAGTAACTATTTGTTTTTGATTCAGTTTCGATTTTCCAATTGATTGATGGGACCACTGTGTTTGGTTTCAGGTTGACGTGTCGGCTCTTTGTGCGAATGCTTCGACGATGTCTGAGGATTTAAATTAAAGTAATTTGATGGATGGTGACTAGCAGTAGGATCCAGGACGCGCATTTCGTCCCATTTAGGACTCGTCACTGAACTCGCCTGCATTTCCCAGTTAGTGGGTGATGGTATTGCCTCCACTGAGGCTTGAACACAGCCAAGTCGTTATCCACTAGACTACTTGAGCCATGGGAGCCATCTCTTGTGCAGTGGGTGTCAGTTATTACTTGTTTCCTAATTCAATTTTGATTTCCCCATTGATTGATTGTAACGATGGGTACTGGGTTCGAGTCCCCGTGGGAAAATCATCACTCACTGCGGGGGGGGGGGCGAGACGCAGGTGCATCCAGTTGACGAGTCCCGAATAGGACGAAATGCGCATCGTAGATTCTATCCACTGGTAGTCGCCATTCACCAAATTACTTCAAGTTAACCAAGTAGTAATTGTTTTGAAAAGTTTGTTTTTGTTTATGTAAACCAATGTAGATTGTCAATCTTTACTATTGAGACTATTTACCTTTTCCAATTATGTTTTGTTCAATTGCTCCTAAAAGACAGTGTTTTTTTTCTAAAATTAGAAAATTTCAGTATTCTTCTAAAAATGTATTATTCTCAGGGAATTGTTATGTGTTATAGATATTTAGTTGTGATTACGTCATTTTGTACCACTCTTTTTCGTTATAATTCAGCTCATTACTTTATTTAATGTAGGCATTTGTTATTTTTAACAGTGTTCATTAGTAGTAGTATTAAGACAGTAACACTGAATAACGGATGTTGTTTGTGACAAATATCTATATATAGCCATTTATTCCTTTAAGTTTAGTTTGCGTGAATGAAAATAATAGAATCTATTTTTATCCCAAGAGAAATACGTATTTGGTGATACCTTAGGACAGATTTGACGATTTAGTTTATGAATTATTTGTTTATATTCCTGTGAATTTCATAGTCTTACGGAAGGAAACCTGATTTGCCAAACTCCTACCCCCATCCCCCATATTATTATTATTCCCTTGCGTTCCAAGTGGAACATAGGGCTTCAACAACACATCTCCACTTTGTTCTGTTTTCTGCTGTCCTCTTCAGCTGGGTCCACGATTGACCAAACTCTCTCATCTCTTCCTCACACAATCTCCTCCATGTCACCCTAGCACTGACGACCCACTCGTCGCTTCCCATTTGGATTCCACTCGAGGGCCCGGCGTGCGATGTCATTCGGTGACCTCCTCAATGTATGCCCAATCCATCTCCACCTTCTTCTGCATATTTGTTGAGCGATCGGCTCTTGCTTGTTGGTTTGTTCTCAGCCAGGATTTCTTGTTGCTTATTCTTTTTAGCTAGCCATTTGATCTACAGTATGAAGCCGGTAAAGGCAGCTGTTGATAAAAGTCTGCCGTAGCCTGTTGGAAATCCTTTTCGTGACACGCTGGTCAAGTTTCTGACCCGTATAGAAGAACCGACTTGACTTTGGTGTTGAAAAATGCGAATCTTGCTCTTTATGCTGAGTGCGGAAGATTTCCAAACTGGTTTCAGGTTGATGAAGGCGTATGTTGCTTTTCCGATTCTGACTTTGACATCTTCATCCGTTCCGCCTGTAGTTGAAACGATGCTTCCCAGATAAGTGGAGGTAACCTCTGTTAAATCTCTCCCGTTGCTGTTGATTGGTTATCTTCATCACCTCCGTCTTCTCTGTGTTCACCTGCAGTCCTGTTTTCGCTGCCTCTTCACCCAGTTTGTTGGTTTTCTCTTTCAAGTCTTCGAGTTTGTGTGACATTAGACATATATCATCTGCGAAATCCATATCTTCTAGAGTTTTCTGATTGGTGTTCCAGCGTATTCCTGACTCCTCGCCCTCAACAGTCTGACGCATAATCCAGTCCACCACAATTAAGAATATCATCGGTGATAACCATCCCCCATTAATATAATTTATTTCTTCTTTGCGCGACTCATTACTTCCATCGTTGTATAGTTATACAAGCTAGAATGTGTTTGTAAACCCGCTTTTTCAAATAATTTGCATTTACTCTCTGAGTCCTAATATATATATATATATATATATATATATATATATATATATATATATATATATATGTATATATAACCCTTACTGAACTGTATTGACCTCTCAGATATCCTGTTATCCATAATGTATTGCTTAATCAGTCAACCTCTATCAGCATTATGAACCAATTCATGTTTCTGAGAGGATCTTGATTCTTTGATTGGATACTAACTAGTGTCATGCGTCTAGTCCTTTTGGTTGGAGGATTTCATCATGAGCTGACATCGGTTAGAGAACCATTGGAAAAGTTGGGAGTACCGGAAAGCTGTTTCATCAGCCTAGTTTGGTACTCTTCATCAGTGCACACCCTCCAGAGTTCGAACCCAGGACCTTCTGGTTACAAGGCTAGCGAGCCTGTAGATCATTAAACCACTGGGACCCTATCTAATGGCCGCCAGCCCATGAATTCCAACTTCTGCCTTTTCTTGCTTCAGACTGAATTCTGTCAGTCATATTCGCAATGTGACCATCATGCTAGGTGGTTCGCCATCACGGTGTACTGTGAATTCTTGTCGTTAGATGGTTTGAAGTTTGGCAGGAAGCCTTGCCTGACCTAGGTGTTTCATGCTTGTTGGCACTCGTCAGAAAGGTTTATCTGAAAACTTGAAGGAACTCATATTCCCTCTGAGATTCGAATCCTTGTGAACGAGTGCCGCTATGAGAGATGTTACCACTGAGCTATTCGGGCTTTTGGTTGATTGTTGGTTACCTGTGTGTCTTAAGAATATTAAGTAAGAAAATAAATGACCAGTTTTACTGCATAATTCTTCAATGTCCACCTATAAACTCCATTTCTTACTTTTCAGTAGTGCATTTTCTTCTAATAAAAAAGATATTGTCATTTCTATTCACTACCATGACGATTTTCTATAGAATAATCTAATTCAGGTCAATGTTTTTGTACTTCGAAAAAGGTTGTATATACTATCAGTATTCTATAGTTATTTTCTTTATTAGTGCATTAATAAGAGTTCTCATTCTTCTTTTTAGATAATGGTATAGGTCGTTCAACTAAATACTATTCTACACATCAGTTGAACAGCCGATCACGTGACAGTAGTACATCATCAGTCAGCAGTGATCACTCCTCAGAAGATTCACCTACACTAGCATCACATTCTTCTTCAACAGGTGAATGTTCAAGCTCCCTTGATGATAATTCTGATTTACACCGTTCTTCAAGATATAAGGTGAAGAATAGACCATCACTTCCTGTGTCCCGAACATATCGTGATCCACTACCAGATTCTCCTGTTCCAAAATCAATCTTACGAGATGATAGATTCAAACAACAGAGGAATTCTCATCGATCAGCAAGTCTTTGTAAACCTGTCTCACATCGTACCCCACTTCGTACTGTAACAAACATTCAAGATAATTATGGCTCGTTAAATCATTTGAATTCTGTCCCCTTAAATCAGACCACTCCTGTTACCAGTACGCCTAATTCCAAGCCTGTACATAATCTAATGAATACATTTGGCGGATCAGTACCTGTTGTAGGTAATCCTGATGCATCAGGTGAATCTGTTTATTATCCTCCCTATCCAGTAAGACAACAATCATCGCGTATATACACTGCTTTCGAAAGTATTCACAGGAGACCATCAGTTCCAATTCAACCGTCTGTATATTTTTATCCGTCTACGGAAAGAATTCTTTATTCCCATCCTGTTCATCAAACCGTAGCATCTGAACAATGTCATGATGGTGGTGTATATTCTCCTCGGATACCCACGAATTTAAGTAACAATTGTGTTGTTACCAGTCCAAAGCCAATGACATGTGGTGCATGCGGTGGAAGTGGACAAATATTAGGCGGGTATAATGCTGGTGGGGGAAATCTTCCAAATAGTCGGTTCATTGAACCTCCACTTATTCGTCCAAATATTGGTTTAAGTCCGTTGTATCGTAAAACTCTATCCTCAGCCAGGTAAGCTTGTCTTATTTTCTTTTACTCATGTGTATGTGTGTGCGTGTTAGTTTTTGGTATATTTCATGAATTTTGGTTGTTTTTTCCCTCATAGACCTCAAAATGTTACTTGTGTGCTTTTTCTACATCTCTGACACTTCCGGAACATAAGTTCCTTAGTGGTGTTTGCTAATTAAATTGTGACGTTGTCATGCTGACTTTGTGTACTATCATATTGAAGACTTATCTATTTGTGTGAGTTGAGCAACTTCTGTAATAAAGTTACTCGGTCTAGTGGTCAGCTTTTGATGTTTCCAGAAGAACATAGTCTGTGGAACCCACTGAATTGTTATAAGTTCTGGGCTTTACTGTCTACTGGAATCCTTACTCTTTAATTGTTTGTCGCATATCGCACCTAATACTCCAAGATTTATGCAGATAAGTGCACAGCATTCGGTTTAGTGTACGGTGTATGGTATGCGTACACATTTCTAAACTGGATATGTTTTTTGGTTATGTTCTATTCTGTCCACTTTAATGCCACCGTTTTCTCCCATAGTACGACACATTTCACTTTTTTTCATTTGCACAATTTACTACTTAATGTTGTAATCAGTAGACTGTGTAGTATAGCTTGCTTTTTCTGTGTTTATCACATACATTTTCGCACTGGGAAAATCTCTCAAATGTGTATAGATAGAATCTTATTTCGAATGGGACGCGTAATTGTGTTAAATCTGTGATAAAACGCTATAGTTATGGATTTCTGGTCTTGAGATTGATATTCATTCGAACAACTCTTATATCAAGTAGATATATATCTACTCTCTCCAGTATTAGCCATTGAGTTCGATATATTAACACCACATGGTAGGATATCTTTATACCAGAAATTATATTATCTCATGTTCGAGTCTTTATTAGAAAGAAGACACTAAGTTCAATAAAGATATGTATTTTCCAGCGATTACATTCACAGATTGTAAAATTTCCACCAGTATACATACGATACAGCAGAAATTAGCCTATTATTGTCTTTAAGATGCCGTTTTTCAGACAGGATATAAAATAATCTTCCAGAAGTATGTCTTAAGGAGGTCCCATGGCAATTTCATTTATTTGTTTAATGATATTGTTTCTGAATGCGAAATGTACATTGAAAGTGCATCTTGCTAACAAGTCTAAAGTATGACGTTGGTTTAATAATAACTGTAACTTTCGTGAGGATAAATGCTCACCGATTACATTTACTGGCGGTCGTGCTAAAATCATGAATTGGTAGGATTCAGAATCCATGGGCCATTGGATCGGATCTCGGAGAATGAATGCTGATGGGTTCAAGCCTTGGTGGGTGCGTACTGATGAGGGGTCCCAGGCTAGGATGAGACAACTGTCCATTACGTCCTGGTTTCCCATTGGCTCTCTAACTGATGTCGGTTCTTGATCAAACTTGAAATAACTGTAACTATTTGGAAATAACGCAGAGAATTTGTGGCTTGATTGGATGATATCAATGAGTGTGTTTGTGTTCTCTGAGCTGAATGACTTAATTGAAAAGCTTCCGTTATGTTTCTAGATTACTGCTTCAGCTATGACTTCATCAATATGAAGTCACTACCAGTTGTAACCGTGCTTACATGTAGGAGGAAAAGTGTATATATTGTTGAGTTTTTTTCTTCTTTCTTCGCGTTACAAAAGGCACATAGGGCTTTTAGCTTCTAAGTTCCAGTGGCGTTGGTGTCTGTCATGAGATTGGGGCGCACTGGTCTGATTTCCAAGCCTCCCTCTTCCCCAGACTTACTATCGGCTAGGCGAAGTTTAGGAGTGCGTGGGGGTGGGGGGAGAATGGAATCTGGACCACGTGCTTGTTTGATGAGCATTCAACCATTGAACCACCGAGTCACAAAAAAGCGCTTGGCTCTAAGCGTCGTCATGACTTAAAGCCATTTTATTTTGAAGATATTTGAACAAAGTATAGGTTGTTGAAAAAAACCTTGTCAATGTGAAGGTAAATGACACATTTATGCACAGTTTATTCTGTTTTTTTGTTGTCTCACAACACTGAAATATTAGAACACCTTACAAGTTTGCCTTTTTTTCACATTTTAATAAATTATACTTGTTGTTTCGTTGTTGTTCTCTCACGATTTCTTTATAAATTTCACTATAATTTGTTATGTATGTGTATATACATAAATTAGAAGAAAAGAATCTCGAGCACGTCCTTTAAGAGCTACACATCCCTGTGATATATCTTTTATACAATCTCCTTCATCAAAGTAAGTAGAGTTGCCTGTATGTATACGTGTTGCTTACCCCGCCTTCCTCCCCCTCCTCTATTTAGCTAATAAATGAAGAAAACTCGCTGTTCTGTTTTCTTTTGATTTGCCAGCTGTTTTATTTCGTTTATTTGATGTTGCTTAATGTTCTTGTTGTTTCTCTGAAGTATTTTTTTGTTTGTATATGTTATGCATGCATGACTTTTTTTTTAAAGAAATTTGCTTTTATCCCATGTTTTATTCGGCCTCCTTTATGTTTTCCGCTTGCTTGCTTACTTGCTTGTGTGCTACATGTACATGTGATGAAAATGACTGTATGTTCATGTCGATCGCCTATTTGTTATGTCAGTTGTTCGCTGTTTTGATTTCCCAGTATAAATATGTTTACTGTCTGTCGGAATCATACCTATCCCTGGGATTATTCACTTACTTGATTGCTGTTATACTCGATGAATGATTACATGTCTACCTTCATCGCAGTACCCCCAACTTATATGATTTTATTCCAGGTATATACATATAACGAATATATACAACTAACTATTTTGTGTTTTATATCTGAATCGTATTTTCCGGTGTATATATTGTTGACGTATATAATTTCTGCTCTGTGATCATTGAATCTACCCCGCCTCCCACTTAATTGTATAAACGAATGAATTCTGTATTTTGCCTAATTGAAAATTGCTGTACAATTCTGCATCGCGCGCTGAGTTTATAATTTGGTTGTGCCACTCAGCTTTCCGAGTGGAGCATGGCAATTCGAGCTTCTTTTCAGATTCTGTAGCGTCTGTGTTGTTTTTATGTAGTGGATTTGCTCGCCCAACGCCCAAATTTTTAACTTTTTCTTGGTTTCCTAGTGACCAGAAAACCAGACATGCTGTTGGAGAGTGTGTCGACTGGGAATTGAGCCTGTCTGGCTAGGAGGCATTTAACCATTAAATTTAGACTAATCAGACAGACTACTGAAAAGAGTATATATAGTAGCTAAAATTGGGAATGTGAATTTTTCGTTACTGACTGTCTATTTATCTATTCTGCGCCATAATATAAATCACTTTCCTAAGTCATTCTATCGGAATAATAGTCAATAAAAGTATTTTATTCCTAAATTTAGATAGACATTATGACGAATTAGATTCTCTGTACAAGCAATAATTGTTTCGTGCTTGTCTTAACGGCTTCAAGACATACCGAAATCTTCTGGAACATCGAAAGCAGTAAACATGCGTTTAGAAGAATAATTGTTTCTAAAGATAGATGTGTTAAAATGAGTCTTAGGTGACTGTTTTTGGCACTTGGTTCCCACCAAATAGGTCCTTCGTTGTATCCATAGACCACTTAGATCCAACTGGGAGATTGAATAGTATCATAAGTTGTCACATTGAGTTTGTCTCATAGTCTGGTATGCAAAAAGGAAAGCCGTTTCATTTAGCATGATGGTATCGTTTACACGGCTTGACAAAATTCTCTAGAAACCACTTTACACAATAAAGTTCCCTGAGAAAATAAATATTGTTCCTTAATTAATGTGTATATAGTCACTTGTGATGATCACGAAAGCTTTATATGCTTATAGAAGTGTGTGTGTGTGTGGTTATTACATCCTGGCTGTCTGCATCTTTGAAATCTATTTCTGCTTGGTGTATCTGAAATAGAAGGGGCATTAGTGTTGCGTGACCATAGAGCCCAGAGAACAACTGCTTCATGCAACGTCAAATACAGTCCTTTTTGAAGTGGATTTTGGAGTTGTATTCGAATTAAGATCTTACCGCTGTCTGCAGATGCACTATTTCTGGAGTGTGTCTTTACTCACACTTCTTTCTGCTCCCCAGAGTAGAGGGACAGCATAGCTGGCTTGGTAGTCATCTGAGAGAAACACCTTATAGTTAGTTGTTATATCTCTGTTCACCTACAGATGCGCCCAACATTGTGTAAACGGCTTACACTGTTAAGGGTAACTGCCTTTAGTCGAACCATTGCCCAAATAATCTTTTTCTGCATGGTAGGACCTGCATGAACATCAGTTCCAGTCAGTGTAGCTCGTTTGGTCATTGAGAAATGCATGCTGGACTACTACGTCATGGTAGAAGCTATCGGCCGCGATGTCGCTTATTCGGGATAGTATCATCACCCTTTTAGTGTCTTTATTTTAAAAACACTTTCCATCAAATCGAAAAGTGTTCGCCTGACATTATTGTGCATGTCGGTAAAGGGGTTTTTAAAATAGCAATCTCCGTTTTTTATATCTAAGTAGTATGGAGATAATAATACTAATCCCTAACTAATCATATTTCTTTTGTATCGTTCTAAATGCCTCAAATTGTTTGTATAAAACTTGCACGCTGCATTACTACATTTATGACAAGTACAGTATATGTATATTTGATATATACATATAAGTTGGTTTGATTCAATTCTTTTACCTTTGTTTGTTTTATTATAGCTTATTTGAAAATGAAAATATTTGTAGAAATTGTAATACAAATTCTACAGTTAATCCATCTACACATTATCATGAACCTGGACGAATGGATTATTCTACACGATTTGGATCACTGTATGTTCTGAGAGTTTTTTCTTTCATCTTTGTTCTATGTTGTTTATGTTATTCATATGAAATTTATGATATTATGTATAAGATAAACAAAGTGGGATATCAGTTAGAGAACCACTGCGCTGGAAAACCTGGGAGTACTGAACAACTGATGAAATCCTCCATCCAATCAAACAAAATATCCCCTACAAAACCAATACTTGAAGATTAATCTGATACTCACTAGCGACTGGCCCTATTCAGGCAGTGACCTGGGGTTCTAGTGGGAAGCCGTGACCAGTAGGGTACAGGAGGTTGAAGGTGAGGCAGTAACTCATCGAAGAAGACATTACGAAATGATCGCGCTATGTTGTGAATTGGCTGAAGTCGGAATTCATGAGCTGGTCATTGGATCAGGTCCCAATGAGTGGCTTAATGGTCTACGAGCTCACACTCAAAATAAAACTTATACTTTTTGTTATTGATACTGTTGCAATTCACGTTATTTGTGAAAGCGTTTGCAACCATGAACACTTTCATGCTTTTCATACTTTAGTGTTTCAGTGTTGCTGGATGATATAATTTCGAAGCTTTTATTCTCCTTCTAGACCAGCGTCCTTAACGCTATGAGACTTTGAAAGCTGTGAAATCATGTCATCCAGCTTAGAGAATAAAATAACCCGCAAAATATTCCACCTGAGCTACAAATCTTCTCAACTTTTATCTGCATAAATCACATGAATAAGTGTGTGTGTGTGTGTGTGAAATCTGTGCACTGCTATGCGTAGCATGTGTCATCCACCTTCTGTATAGGTTATATGAGAGCTGTTTCTTTTTTCATAGAACACCTGCTAACTTTCATTTATTCTCTGTTATTTCACGTATGATCACACTATCAAGTCCGATTACGTAATGCTAGATTGTAAGGGAAGTAAATGAAATACGTTTCTAATGAAGATGGGATAAGATTAAGAGATGATAAGAGAGGGGTTGAAAATATAAGTAAGGGGTGGTGGAGAAGTCATCATGTCTTAATAGCTCAACAGGGGAGGGATAATGGCTGTACGAATTTCTTTCGAATGCATAGTTTAGGTTTAATAGTTCGAATGCCTATCGCGTTCCTATCGTATTCCATCAAATCTTTCCAATAGACTTCGTATTCACCTACTGCACACAGCTGAGGCGATAGGCATTCGAACTATTAAACCTAAATTATGCATTTAAAAGAAGTTCGTACAGCCAGTATTCCTCCCTTGGCCTGTCAAGGCATAACCAACTGATGACTTCTCCACCACCCCTTATATTTTCAACCCCTCTCTTATAATCCTTCAATATATATATATGTAGAGAGGCAGAGCGAGATTCTGGGTTTTTATGCTGTTGACGTCTAACCAACTGACGCCAACTGAAAGTTCATCATGCTGCTCAATCTCCTACCTTCGTGATTTCATTACAAGCTTGACTATTAGGACTGTGTCAGCATTAAAGGCAAACCATATTTTAACGACAGAATACAACGACCAGGCAACAGATCCTTTATTAAGAAAATCAACAGATATTTATAGATTTTTATGCACATTATTATCAGCGTTATTGTTAGCAGAAAAGCAACGTCTTCTGATTGGTTGTTTTATTGCTGAAGGTTATTCTGTACTGCTTGTGACCGTTTCTTAGAAAATTAAGCCATATATCTGCGAATCGTATTTGCACACGTTAAGTCTGCTGTGATTGGTTGGTGAGTTCCTCGAGGTTAGGCTTTGTTATTGTTTTTTTTCTCATGACCCCGATTCGGGACGTAACATTGACGTAAATTGCTGTCTACAATTTTGGCTTGTTCGCAGCCAGCTCTCACCACAATTTGACATTAGTTACTCCCTAATCACCGGTATAATATACATAGCTCAATAGCTAAATTGACTTAAGTTTTTGTTGTTATTTCGTCCTCTCTTTACTCCTAGATTTATCTCGTTGATATCAAATATTCTTTTCTTTTTTTATCTGTATATGCACGCCTTTAATTAGAGAGAATGTCTTTTAAATCGAAAATTCTTGTAGAATCGTATTCATACTATACAGTTTCTTTTGTTTTTTATAGTACTCATGTTAACAAACGATCTCATTCGAAATCATTGACTCATCGAAAGTATTCTCACCTCATGAATCATAATAGTAATAATCAAAATCTTCTTAATGCAAATTCTTCTGAAGACAGTGGTGGTTCAGGCACAACGTCTGGTGAAAAGTCATGCTGTCGGAAACAGAACAGTCGAGTCAATGATAATCATTTGAATTCTGTAAGTTGAGAGAGTACGTATTTTTCACTGCTTTTTTTTCTTAATGAAAATGAATATTGATCAATTTATGCATTAATAGTTGCATTGCAAGCTTGTTTGAAAGTTATTCATTGCATGGTATTTTGGCGGTTTCTCTGAATGTGATACTGTTGTTTATTAAAAGTGTATTATAAATATTTGTCTTTCAGCTGGTGTCCTAGCGAGTGCCTCGAGCAGTTCTGCTCTACTGCATTCCATTTCTTCATACGAATGTACTAACAATGATTACTTCAGTTGTATTTTAAGTGATTCTATGGCAATTCTGTCTCTCGAATCGGCATTCAGACTAGTTAATCGATTCTGTTATTGTTTGTAGGCTTATTAAGTTTCTTCCATTCTTTCTAAGTCCTGTCACAAAATAAATGTACCTCTAGGTAGGATAAACCTTCAATTTAAAGTTTATTATGCACCCGCTGTAGTAGTGTGGTGTTGTGCTACTGACAAGATATACTAGTAGTATAAAACGAGATGTTCATCGACATAAAAGCATCAAATAGCGGAGTGATAGATTTGACGTCAAAGAGAGCAAATAAACCGGTGTGGCAGCAAATCACGGGAGACGTGAAAAGAAGACAGAGAAACACAATACGAAGGATAGAAGTAGCATAACACGGAAGATCTGTGCAAATGACCGTTTTTCAGATATGGTGTACATAATTTCTCTATATAAAGATATCAAATTGCAAATAAACATTCCGTTCCCAATTTTCTTGTCTTCTACTATTACAGTAGCATTAGTAGTCGTTTTAATTTCTGAAACTGGTTTTCTTTACAATGAAAAGAAGTAACTGGTAATGAAGAAAGAAGCACATTCGTCAAAGAGATTGTTTGGATGTGTGAAATTCCTCATCTATGTGTGCCTCAGTTTTAGTTGTGAAAGTGAATAGCGAATGTGAAATGGAAACAACAGCTATTAAAATAGTGTGCTTAACCAATTTTTTTATTCCTTCACACTCACAGTGGAACATAGGGCTTCAATCTAGAGCTTTTTGAAGTCTCGGTAGCAGTGGTGTGTATTGTTACAGGATGGGGTTGCTAGCCTCATGCCTAGCCAACCTTCCGTTTTTAGCAGTCTTATTACTGGTTTAGCGAGGTAAAGGAGTGCATCTGTGGCTGGGGATTGAACCCCGGACTAAATGCGTGGTAGGCAAGCATTCCATCGCTGTGCCACCGATGCACGTGCTTAACAACAAAACATGATGGACACAGTTGATGTGTTATATATGTCCAAACCAAGTTCACTTTTAACAGTTTGAAAAAATTTGGGCATTGGGTATATGATATTCAGCATATATATGCTGAGATTTTGTAAATTCCGGTTTAATTTATACTATGATAAAGCTATTAGCATTAAATAGCGAAACGTCAGTAAAAACAATATCGTTTTGTTTTTCATTCACTCGGAAATACAAAAACCTTTATCATAATGAACAGTTGATGTGCATTTCAAAGTGATTTTTGGTGAGAGAAAAAAAAGACTGTTTCATTCTAAAGTAAATTGATATTGGTGATTGAGTTCTGTGTGCCAGTAAATCATACATAGATAGCTACATATATCCTTTTATAGACATCTCTCACGCCTACATTATAAACAAAATTATTGTGTGTATTGAAAGAAGTAACAATTTCCTCTCCTCTGTTGTTGAGATATTTCATGCTGTATAATATATTCGCTTGCATTCAGCCATATGGTTTAACTATTATGCAAATAGGCCGTGTACGAAGTGTGTACATTCGCTAACTTAAGATAATAAACTGTTGGTTTCAGGTTAATAATAATAATACTCGCCGAAGACATTGGCTAGGGGTTGCGCTATGTCGTGAATTGGCAGAAGTTAGAATTCACGGGCCATTGGATTGGTTCCCAGTGGCTTAATGGTATACGAGCTCGCCTTGTAACCAGAAGGTCCTGGGTCCGACCCCCTGTGGTGGGTGCGTACTAATGAAGGGTCCCAAACTAGGACGAAACAGCTGTGCAGTACTTCCAGGTCTTCCAATGGTTCTCTAACTAATGTCAGCTCATAATGAAAATCCTGTAACCAATCAACCAAATCCCTACAAACCAACACTTGAATAATTTATTCATTTGTGTTCCCAGTGTTGTAACATAGCCTCATGTTCTCGAGCTCCTACTTTTCCTGAATTTACACTACCGGCTGGGCGATGTTTAGGATTGTGTCGGCTGAAAATCAAACCCGGGCTATGTACGTTCACTTGGCTGGTTAGTAGCATTCTATGCCATTGAACTTCCTAACCAAAATGTTGTATATGGCTTTCAGGTTACACACACACACACAAGGATATTCTACATCATCTATCTAGGTTATCATACCAACTGTTTGATAACAGCTTGTACACACGTAAAATGTTTCTTGTTACGTTCATTGTTTATGTTAGTCACTGGATTAAAATGTATTATATACATACACATATATATTTAATTGGTGGATGGTAACTAGCAGTGGAAACTAGGATGCGCATTTCGTTCTATTTGGGACTCGTCAGATGGATGTAACTGCATTTCTCAGTGAGTGATGATTTTCCCACCGAAGCTCGAACCCAGTGCCCATAGTTTCAAACACCAAAGCGTTATCCACTATCAACGGGAAAGTCTAAAATTCAATTAAATAACGAATATGACCCGTTGCACAAGAGGTGGCTCTTGTGGCCCAAGTGGTTTAGTGGATAAACCTTTGGCGTTCGAAACTATGGGCACTGGGTTCGAGCCTCGGTGGGAACATCTTCACTCACTGGGGAATGCAGGTACATCCATCTGACGAGTCCCAAATAGGGCGAAATGCACGTTATGCACGATTCCAGTGCTAGTCACCATCCACCAATTCAGATCCCAGACATCGTCGAAGCATCTACACAAGAAGTCGACATGTCAACCTGAGACCGAACACTTCTGTCCAATCAATCGACAGGAAAATCTAAAATTCAATTTAATAATACCAGTGAGGTCCAATTAGAAGTCACGTGTGGATGGATTTCCACCAACGACAATAGTTGGGGTCGCGCTAAAATCACGAATTGGTAGAAGTTAGAATTCATGAGCCATTGAATCGGGTCCCAGTGGCTGAATGGTATACGAGCTTGCCTTGTAACCGGAAGGTCCTGGGTTCGACAGTGTGCGTACTGCGATGATCCAGAAATATATATTTATGTATAATAATATATTCTTATTTTTCCTTAATAGAGAGAACATTATTCAAATCGTTGTGGAACACCGACATCTGGTGGTAATGCTCGTGGTGGCGGTGGTGCTGGTGGTACGGGTATCCCATTATTATCCTCTTCAACAAATTTACAAGAAATCCTAAAAGCAGTTTCATCCACTAGTCGGTTAGCTCAAAAGCTTCGATGTAGTCTAGAAGATTTATGCAGCAGACCGAATTAAAACCTCCCCGGGGTTAGGTTGGGAGGAGATAGGGGTGGGTGGGGTGGAATCCTGTTCACTTCACACGCATATATGCTTCCAGGCATATATATATGCATATACATATATAAATTCTGTATAGTTGTTACTTTGTTTTATTTTCTATCAAATATTTAAGCATATCTTATTTGTTTTTTTTGTTTTTTTATTATTACACTTGTTATTCTTTATTTATATTTTTATTTATATGACACATGTTACAATCATGTTTATCTAACGATAAGGTGGAGGGGGGATGACTAGGTGTTGACGTATTGTTCAACTGTTTTCTTTAATGCTTGTCTATGCGAGTGTATACATTGTTGTTGTTGTTCTCGGGATATCTCTTATTGCCTGGAGATTCCTTCCCCTCACTCTCTCCTCGTCCTCCGTATGTTTCTTTCTGGCAAACAGACTAACTCTCTTTATAATTAGGTAATATTTTATGTGATCTTATTTCTGATTTATCATTTTATTAAAGAAACATAACAAGTTTAGCCTAATATTATTTAAGTATTTTTTTCATATGTAGACAAAGCCACTTAGCTTTTCTTTTTTACTCCTAAAGGTTTCTTGCTTTATCCCTTTGTTTGTTTGTTTGTGTGTGGTTGGATGAGTGGGTGGGTTGGTGTTAAAGCGGATGTAATTAACATTTTCTGCTTCCCACCCCCGTCTCTCTTATTCTCCTTCATAGCAGCATCCATACAGATAACATTTTTTGGAGGTTCTATCATCTCTGTATCATGAAGCAGTGGTACTGTCAAGTATCACGAACTTAATTTTTCTTTTCCTGCTCCTTCAATGACCTGTATCTACTTATCTTCATGTATTTTTTAGTTTGTATGTCTTTCCACTCATACTATTACTCCTACTCACTCACTGACTCACTCATTCACTCACATGTATGTATAAGGGATTTTTATTCGTATATATACCCATACTAATGCGGACGCATATCTGCAGCACGTGTATGCATGTTGCATACACTCCCCCCTGTCCTGTAATTGAATAACTTCATTTCTTCTCTTCCCCCTCAATCAGATTATTTTCTAGTGAACTGATAAATCAGCCAGTATTATATACCCATATATTCTTTGTAGGATAAAGTTTATATATACATATACATATATGCACGCATATATATGTAATGATGACATTTGGTCCTCATTATTTTAGTGGATCGACGGCTGACTAGTTTAGTTAGAATCCTGTAAAATTTGTTTTCATGGGTTATTTCATTTTTTTTCTCTTTCTTTTACTTTATTTTTCTCTCACTTGTACTTCGTTTTCTTTCTTTTTTTTGCTAATTGAAAATATATTTTACACGATGAATTATTGTTTGTTTGTTTTCTGTTAACAAAATAGAGAATGATAAAAAAGAGTTTTCAGATGAATGATTTGTTATCTTATCTTAGGTATTGTTACAGCCTTGGATTATTTCAATTGTGAACTGGAATGTTAAATGTGCAGAGCACCTCACGAAAAGGTGTTTCTTCCTAATTTGAAAAACTTTTAAGCGATATGTACTCAGTATCGGTGTGTGTGCTACTATACGGATCAGAGACTTGCACTGCGCGTCATAAAGAGCACCTCAAACAAACTACTAGCCTTCATCAACAGCTGTCTTCGTTCAATACCACTCAAGATCAGAAGGCCGGTCAGAAAAGATCAGCAATAATGATCTCTGAGAGCGAACCAACCAGGAACCGATTGTGCAACAAATAAGCAGGAAGAAATGGAGATGGATCGGCTGGCCATACTGTGAGGAAACCATCAAGTGACATCACTAGAGAAGCCCTCGAGTGGAACCCAAACGGGAAGCGGCAAGTCGGTCGTCAGTGCAAGGGTGACTTGGAGGAGGTCATGTGAAGAAGATATGAAAACGTGTGGGCAGACTTGGAGCCAGGTGAAAACTCTAGCAGAGAACCGAACGCGATGGAGACGCACGGCTGAAGCCCTATGTTCCTCTAGGAATTAAAGGAAAAAATAAATAATAATAATTGGATTGAGGCATCAAATCGATAACTGTTATGACCATTATACTTCTGTACAGTTACCTAACAACTTCGGGACTCGAAATCTCATCAGGATTAAACATCTTGCTTGTCTTTTACAATGGTCGGTCGGTCGGTTTTCGACATAGAACTTTGCATATATGTGCGGAAGTTCAAGTCGCCACACTCCCTCCTTGTAGCACACAAAGCAAGAGAAAAAAAAGTAGGAGAAATGCATAATATAGTCAGTAAACAGAGGTGTGAGACAAAGGAATATTAATAACGGAGAACAAAACAGTTTCATTGGAAATCATAAGTCACAAGGAGTGGATGCATCTGCGCCACTGAGAACGATTTTGAGCCATGTCACCAATTGTTTCCAACCATTGATTTTTACTGTCCCGAGGACGCCAACCGGTCAGGAAGTCTACACCTTCCTACGTGGCTTAAACTAACTGTTGTAGATTTCATTGACTGATGAGGCCATGTTTTGGTTTGACCACCGCTAGCTCTTTTCCAGCCTGACCTTATGTCAGCTAACATCGCCCGTCGAGGAAGGCGATGACTAGGCATACGTAACAGTCTTAAAATCAGTTGAGTTGCCACTGATCTACTCTACCAGTAGCTTCTACTTTGACCTGGTAGGCCGGTTTGCATTTCGCTATCGCCCATACGATCGTACACAGGCTGAAACTGATGTTCATTCAGGTTCTGAGATATCAGAAAGACTGTTTTGATAGTGGTTATACTAAAAGCTGTTACCAGCATAGTGGAGATCTGTGGTCAAAGTTGTACCACTGGCGGCGGATAAGGATTTAACACTAAGAATGTGTTTTTCTCAGATAACCAGTAAGTCATCTATGTCGCTACTCTGTTCTACGGAGGGGGTGGTGTTAGAAAAGGTCAACTCTACGATTTGTGCACCGTGACTTAATTTGCAGTGGCGCTCAATCAGTGGTAAGATCTTAATACAGACAAAACTCTGAAAACTGCTTCAAACAAACCGTGTGTGTGTGTAGCGGCCTTCAAGCAGTTGTTCCCTGGGCTTTGTAACGTCTTTCTGTTCCAGCTAATCCAAGAAAATAAATTAAGTTCCACTGTGTGGGGAGCTGGGCAGTAATAGCTGCTCCACATTTGCATGGGTACACAATCCTTTCCTGGTCGTTATCACCAGCTGCTGACCTAATATCCTCACTGTAGTAGTTGATCTAGCATTTTGGCTGCATATTTGTATATACCCAAACTAAGCGGTAACGCTAGTTCCCATAAATAAAATCCTCGTCAAAGTACTTTATGACTATGTACTAACACAAAGATTAAGTGTAGAAATGATTTTCTATGCGCATTAAATAATACTTCCAAGATTTGTGTTTATGTAAGATTGCACTTTATACAACTTATTACGCAATCATAATTGTATACTAAATTTATTGTATACACAAGAGTTGATGTATAGTACTTTAAACCGTCGTGCAGGGTATATTTAATTGCGCGATATCAAGTTACCGAATAGCCAAGACCATAGTTTACTCAGTGTCACATGAATCGGAAAAATTAGGAACTAATTCATATTAGGATGGATTATGCTTATTATAGTAAGATTCCGTGAGGGATTAAATGTTCATAGTTTAGATAGGAATGATTTAACCATAATCCGAGGTACTTTCTGTTCTCACAACTTTAGGTAAAAAAAGTTCAGTCCTCAGGAAACTTGAAGGATTATTTTGTTCCTTTAGAACTTATTGTTCATCGAATTGCTAAAATGCTGTCGAATATTGTGTTGGTAGAATTCTGTTCACTTCATTAGATGTTAGCTATCTCATTGTTATTAGCTGTATTCAAAGTAATTTATGCTGATATATCGAGACATTTTAAGTTTTTGGGGGCTATCGCTATCAGAGTTCATTGTTGCCTGTTCTTCCCGTCCGTCCATTTTATCTTCACTATCGAGTGAGCGCAGCTGTTGATGTAAGACTGAAGCATGTTGGAAATGCTTTTGAATTATGAAGGAGTACAAACTTCACATTACTGTCGTAAACTATTGTTTTGTTCCTGTCTTCTATATTTCTGCCTAAAGTCCACTTCTGTTAGCTTGTTAGTTTTCTTTTGTATATTTACGAGTTTGTGATATGCGATATAAATCACCTACGAAATCCAGATATTCTAAGTCCGTCCTCTCACGCTTCAAATGATTCATTGAACTAACCGTTGTGAATTGTTTATCAGCGTCATATAGTTGTTGACTGAAGTTTATGAGGATAATTAGAACTGCAGTCCTCAGTATTAAGGCAATTTCCAAATTACTTCATAGTTGACGCAGTCGAAGACCCTGAGGAGTTGATTGTAATTCTAAGCTCTCTTTGGTGATGCTTAGTGCTGTATTTACTGAATGATCATCTGGGGAAGATTGACTCTTATATACAATAAGGTGACGGTGTTCTATCATTAATTTTGCCTTAATACTTATCAGCTGGAATTCAGTATAAAAAACAGCAATACAATAAATCATTTCTTCGTTGAAGTAATTCAGTTTCACGCAATTCGCCAATGTACTGACGAAACTGTAGTTCCAATGAAGAACACTGTCCTAGAGGGATAATTCCAATCGATTAATTAAACCACACGTTGAATCACGCGTAAAATCCAAAACAGAGGATTTGTTCAAAGTTTGGTACTGTATTACACGTAAATTGCGTTGGTGGCACAGTGGTTAGGACTCTCGCCGACCATACACATGGTCCGGGGTTCGATCCGCTGCCGACGCACATCCGATATCTATGGTCGACCTGCAAAATTTGGGCTACCGATATCCATGCTGAAAATGCCATACTTGTACTGAAAATACAGTGTGGCATCAAGCTGTAATCAAAAAAGAAAAAAATTGATGTAAAATAATATACAAACTCCAATTTATTGTGAATTTCAAAATCCGTTTATGCACCCATTGAACCTAGTTGATACCTTTATGCATTTCCCTTTAGCTCTGGATGGTGGACTCCCCAAGTTGTAAATGCTTAAACCCACGAGTGAATTTAGCGTTGATCAAAATAATTTTGAAGGTATATACTGAACATTACTTCCAGCTGTGTTGACCGTGATGGAGAAAACGATTGATCAGTTTTCTATTGTTGTTGTGATCAGCATGTCGAGTAGGTTCATTAGAGTGTAGGTTCACACCACTCTTAATCTGTTAGTCAACATTTCTGGTCATAACACTTACCAAACTGTCTATTTAAGAATACAGTGATAAGCAAATTCTGTCGATAAATAATAAGTGAAGAAGTGGCTCATTAGTATTAGAAGTAAACTATCAGCCAGCATGTTTCAGGTTTGAGTCCCAATCCGTCTTCTTCAGACTGAGCTACTGGGTAGTATAATCAGGCCTGATTCAATAACTATAGGTTGTAGCCCACTATATGAAAATCTGTTTCGGACAGTAGAGTTCAAACATTAATTAATAGTAAATCTTATTCTGACTATCAAAATGAGTGGATACGAATAATCCAAATGACCGTGTAAAAATTCACGGCAAAATCCAACAAATTACAAAAGCGAATAATTTATCTTCA